CCTTTATCAAGCCAATTTCCACTCTATTTACATAATTCATTTCACAGCTGTTTCTGTCTTGGTATGTCAGTTTACAGCACAGCATCTGCTTCCCAGCATGCTTGCATCTTTTCCTCACTGCTAATTTAATAGCCAAACATTTTAAAAGCCATTAAAAAATCTTTTTATTACCTGCTACATTGGGGAGACCAATTTGTTAAATGGCTACCAAGCATAACGTTCTGAATTATCAAATTAGTTTAGAACATGTTCATCCAAGGAATTAAAGAAGAGCAAAGGACAAGTCATGGCCAGGAATTTTTTCATGAGCATCAGAACCTTGGGTCAGTTTCTGTGATCTATTGCGCTAATTTTCTATCGTTCACAAGCTTTGAAAGGTGTCAATCAACAAAGACAGATCATTGGATCCTAATAGAATTTGCTGAAATCAGGTCACCTTCAGAAATAATCTGGGTAAAGCTTCTTAAACAGCCGATTTCCTTTGGTGTTTAGTGTTTTTTTTTCATCTAAATACGCATATAATATGCTGCAGTGTCCTGTGAACTATGTGTAAAACCAAAAATAAAGATAATTTGGAATAATCAAGCAGATTTCGTATAGTCTGATTAAAGCAATAAGACAGGAATACTAATGGAAGAATAAAGTGTGTTCTAAGGCATTGCCCATATATAAAATAAATAGTATAAAATATTATTAACTATGTTTGCTAATGAGTAATTGTTTTCCAAGTTACATTATAGCATTGATAGCAACCCAAGTATGGGATATGAAATGCTTTACCCATTAATTAACAGCCACAACTTTAAAAAGACAGAATCTAAGGGCCCATCCATACATTCCCAATATGCGGTAGCTGTCTGGGTTTTTACCAGGGGTGTTCAAACAATGCCCCAGGTAAAACCAAATTAATTTGGAATAAGCGAGGTATTAATTAAATACCCCATTAGATCTGGGCCTTCCAGAAAGGCCCGGGTCTAATGGGGCATTGAGCCTGTGGGAACTCATTTCTGGGTAGTCCCCATTTGCTATCCCAAACCTTTTGGACTTCTGCAGCCCAAAGGTCTGGGATGGCACCCAAACTCTCTCCCCCCCCCCCCAGCTCCCAAAGTATGCCTAAAAAGTAAAAGCAATCATACCCAGCCACCATTATGGTCCTCCTCACACCCTCAAGGAGCTCTCCCCCCTCCCTCCTGGCCTTCTGGCATATCATTTCCTTGCACCAGGAATCTGGTTAATTTCAATCAGGATGGCATGTAGCCACCCTCCTAAGGTTTGAGGGACTTGCGGGAATTAAACTCATGTTGAAGTGGGTTTTAAAAATCTGCTTCGGTGCGGGTTTAAGAGCGCTTCCACACAGTACCTATAATTTGGGAGATAATGGGTTAAAAAGGGGTGGCCAGATGATGTTTGTTCTAAATATGTGCTCAATCACAGCAATGGAGGAAAACCCAATTCAAAAAGATCCTCCTTTATCCTGGTTCTGGGCAAAAAAAGCGGATTTTCTCACGACTGTGAGACCCTGCAGTCATGTAAAGTCTGGGATTTCCCTCTTTACCCTCTGTGGAGACACAGAAGATTTCCAGCTGGTTTCAGGAGAAGAGAAGCGGAGAGCCATTAGAGGTCTCTGAAAGTGTTCATTTTAAACTATAATATTAAATAGATCATGAATAAGCCATTGGGGAAAAAGGAAATCTGGCGGCATTTAAATTTTTTCCTGCTGTTATACTCTGATGCATAACATATTTGTATAAGGTTTGTTTATTTACCGATGTATTAATATATGGCATTGAATTGAAATAAGTCCCGCAAGGCACGGACTTCAGGTGGCAGAGTATTCCAGAGAATAAATTGTCAATATTTAAGGCTTTGCATGGTCTGGGGCCGATGTACCTGAGGGACCGCATCACCCCCTACCAACCCCAGAGATCCCTCCGTTCTGAGGACCAAAATCTATTGGAAATTCCCAGTTTCAAGACCGTGCGTCTAACAGCAACCAAACGCAGAGCCTTTACAGCAGTGGCACCATCACTCTGGAATACTCTGCCACCTGAAGTCCTTGCCTTGCGGGACTTATCAGCTTTCCACAGGGCATGTAAGACATATCTGTTTCAACGGGACTTTGATCTCTGATATTGTTATTTTAAAATTGTTTAAAATTGTTTTTAAATTGTGTTCGATTTTAGCCTGTTCTTGCAAGCCGCTCCGAGCCCCAGGGGAGTGGCAGCATATAAGTTTGAATAATAAATAAATAAATAAATAAATAAATATTTGCTTGAGATAGTGCTTGCAGTTCTGGAGGGACTCTTAATTTTTTTTGCATCTCATAGACTTAGCATGGGGATTTGGTTAACCAGTTAAAATTCATGAGTAAACTGGGTTTTTTTAAAAAAATCTGAAACATTTCGGGGGGAGGGGAGTTGAACCCCTAACCCCCCCCCCCCCTCGTTACAGGCCTGCTGCATGGGAACCTGCTCTGGTGTCCTGAGTTTATCCTGCATATTAATCCCATGTTTTGGCACTGTCTGGAAGTGCCCTAAGTCATGTCTGGAAGTGCCCTAAGAGAAAGCATTTGCAATTAGTTTACAGGAGAGAATAGTAATCATAATCACTTGGGATAAGTAAGGGAATTTGCTAGACAACATGCACAATAACTGGCAAAATATCCTCTCCTGTCTTTTTAACTGTTATTGTTTCTCTTAAATTTTCCCAGACTCTTGAAACAATCATTTTCTAAACTGCATGACTATGATGCACTTTGCTATAATACATAGAAGAAGTGATAGATAGAAAAACCACTTGTAAATGGTAAATTATAAAATGATGACATTTCTGTAAGGTTTAGCCTGGAGAATGTGATTCACTAGTAATCTGTATTTTAACTGCTTAAATGAATAATTAATATTATTGAAATACATTTGCATCTCACCTGCAAAATATATGCTGTTTAAGAAGTTGAACCAAAAAATATTTTACAATTTAACAATGAAATATTAATACATGTTTAAAAGACTATCATTTATGTTGATTCTTTCATTAGATCTAAGATCACTTCAAAGAATGAACATGTCTGCTCTTGATTCACACAATCCTGCTAGTCAAAATTTACTCTTACAAGTTATAGTTCCTCCAATGAGTTGATTATCCAAAGTTTTAAATGACTGTCGTGCCATCCCAATTGTTGTTATTTGCTATTGCCAACTTTTTCTTATGATATGGCTAAAATATAATAGTTTCAGTTTAGTCGTCTTTGCTTCTGGTGGGATTCAGGCTTGATCATTCTGATGGGAAGAGGTACATTTATTTTACATAAAACTTAAGTCAAATTTTCAAATAAGTATGAATATTAAGAAAAACCAGGAGCTGTAGGCTACATTTCAAAAGAAGGAACTGGCAAAACTACCTCTGAAAATTCCGTGCTTAAGAAAACCCTATGAAATTCACGGGGTTACCATAAATCAACAGGTGAAATTAATCTCTCTCTCTCTCTCTTTCTCTTTCTCTCTCTCACACACATGCACAAGAATAAATCCTTTCCTTTTCTAGTAAATAAGTTGAACAATCATTACAGAGATGCTTTTCTAAGAGATGCCTTTCAATAATCTTCCTGCATATGACAGATGATTAATTGTTAAGTTTCACACATTTTTCTCACAATGATTCAGTGCATTATGCCAATTCAGGGACTATAGTGACAAGCCTCTTCATTACTGTGTGCTGGATAATAATGCTCTCAAAATATAATTGGACACACATAATAATACAAGCCATTTGGTTAAAAAACAAAACCAAACAGCTAGGAGTAATTTACATAATTATAGCTAAAGAAATAAAGAATTGGCTAAATAGCATCAACCCCAAAGCTATCATCATAACACCCACAATATTATAACTGATGATGTTAGACACACAAGTTAGGGGTTTGAATAAGTTGTTTTGATATGACCTCCTTTGACAGCAGGAAAATGTTGTTACATTGGCGGATTAATAAAAAATGAAAATAATTAAAAGGATACCAGTTTTTCATGAATTTAGATCTTCTACCTTAGGAAAATTATAATTTATAGGCATATAATCCCCTACAGAATAGATGTCAACATAAATGTACATTAACCATGGTCAGTATTCTGCATCAGCTATTTAGTTAAGTTGCGATTGTGAATGCAGAACAGTTATGAATGAGTTCTGTATTCACAATCACTATTTACTAACACTATTGTCATGATCATAACTCCCCTCATCCGATATATTACCAGGCGGTGACTACATGGGAAGAAGGAGGTTTGTTATGCTGGCAGTTGGAAAATGAGTAAGTAAGGTTTCCTTCAGGTTTGAGTGGTCAGGCTAGTGTTACATATATTTACCTTAGTAACTGATATAGAATGCTGCCCCCCCCCCCATTTTAATACGAGACTAGAAGGATTCTTCGCAGATAGCAAGCATAATTGAAAAAAAAATTGACAACATAAGATTTTATCTATGGCATAATGGTCCAGTATGTGGCCATATTTATGTGTGTGTATGTTTCCGAGTGTAAGGAGTATAGCTATGAATATTGTGATGGAACTATGGTTGTCAAATGAAATAAAGGGCACACTCCTGTGTAAAATGGGAAATTTCAGCAGGTGCTGGTTGTGTGTGGCAAAGCAACACCCACTGAAATTCTCTCTTCTACACAATCATTATTGCCTCCTAAGCTAGGGAGCGTGCAGGGATTCTGAATATGAAACAATCACAGATGTGTAATTCTAGGTTATGCATTTGCATCTGCCCAAATGAATTCTGACCCAGGTTTCTACAGACACTGGACATAAATGTGAGAAAATATGAAGCTACATGGATTGCACTACAGGGCTTACAATGTGTGCTTTATGCTGGTTTTTCCAAATAAGATTAGTGAGCAGTTCAAAGTAAACTATTGTTAACTAGAACACTGTAGAATGGAATCTTTCGCCACTGGGCACTTTCTATTACTTAAATCACAGAAAATCTTGGATAGCCAATGCCATATATGGTACAAGGTTACTTTCAACTATCCAAGTTTATTACAGGTTTAAAGGTAAGAACACACCTTTGACTTACACTTGGAGGCCACTAGGCAGCCAATGGAACTGGACCTCATTAAGACTTGAGTGTAGACTTTCATCGTAATTATTGCAATCATCTTCTCTTAACTTGCTGTATTGTACAAATATACTAAGGGTATTTTTTGAACGGTTACTGTTTTTAGGCCACCTAAACTTTGTGAAATCTCATATTTCAATGAGAGAGAGCAAGAGTGTTTAGTCCAATGTAGTGTTCTTGAACTTGGTGCTCACCAGATTAGATGGATTCCAATTCCCAAAATCCCCAGCCAACATGAAGGATGGGAGGATCAGGAAGTCTGGTGTTTTTCTAGCATTTCATTATAACAAAGCACCTGAACACTTAAGAAGCCAAGGTCATATGAGTTAAGGTGCTGTAGGAAACCTCACATCAAACAAGCACGATACAAAATTAGGTATGTTCCTGAGCCGATGATTTGGCGCTAAGCTTCAGATTCTTAAATAGTTTGCTAAACCAGTTCTATAACAACATACCCAACAATAATAATAATAAAAGAAGCAACTCTTTTGCTTGACCTTCTCCTGCCCACCATTCACTATTGCAGAAAAAAAATGAATGAAAGATGTGTGAAGTACCAAGTACAAATGCTTGACATTTAGTTACCTTTTGTTGTCTTCTTGGGTTTTTCTTCCCCCTGTGGCTACAGATTGTTCCCATGTCTCCTGGGTATTAGCTACCCTTTTGTCAAGGAGTATCTGACATTAATTTTGCTGCTTTGATCACTGAGGCGAGTAGACGACTATATATCTAATTTCCACATATCAAGCTTGGCATAAATCCTTGCCTGGAAAACAACACCTTGTGGGGGGAGTGGGTGGAAAGGACAAAACAACCCAAACCAAAACAATCATGATCATCTGAACTTGCGTACTTTACCATCATCCGCTATTTAAAAGTGAGAGTGCCAAAGCAAGCCTTTGATAACGCTTGGGTGACTGAAGCAAGTGACAAAAGATCTGCTAACATGGTAAGGAACTATATGTATATGCACGAGGCATGATTTGAAATATGTTACAGTGTTTTATTGGAATAATGAAAGAAAAATAAATGATGTTTCTCTTGCAGAAAGTTACAGCTACATTAGTTTGTGCTTTTACCATCATGATGCTCTTCTTGGTGGTTGAAACGTTTCGTGCTCCGAAGGTAAAAGTTAGAACTTAAAATGTCTTTGCAGTAATGTTTCCCCTTTCTCTAGGTGAATAATTATTCCTTTCTTTTTGCAGCGCAAGCTCATAGCTAGAAATTGGGGCCCACAATCAATGCTATACCTGAAAGGACGATGTAAGTTATGTTTGTTCTCTCATTTTCAAAACTAAATACACAATAGCTATGTATTAAATGAATAATTTCCATTCTCTTAAAATGAATCTTGGAATGTCCTAGTATGTTAATAGCAAAGTATTGAGCAGTTGTAAATAAGTTCAGGTGTTTAATATCATTGTATGTTGTAATACTTTTGAGTTGCAGGCATTTTTGTCCTGGGTCAATGTACAATATCACTGGGATGGAAAAAATTTAGTTCAAATGGTTTAGAAAAACCAGATTACAATATTAACTAAACATTAAATTTCAAAGAAAACATTTTTCCTTCCACATGTATTTTTCCTTAGGAGGGGAATTGCATGAAAACCGATTTGGAATTGTTAACTTATGCAATTTATAATATGCAGACAGTCTAAAAAGCCTTATATTTTTGACAGGGGAATGGGGTGGCATTGACAAAGGGTAATCGATTTTCAGGAAGTAAGATTAATGTGGAGCCACATTTTCAAATTTTCTTGAATGTGCATTTGTACTACTTGTGCCAACATGATGTTTCAAGACCTAATAAAGACAACTTTGGGAACAATGCAATTAGTGAAAAAGATATAAAATCATAGCATCACAGAGCTGGAAAAGAACGCATGGACCATCTAGTCCAACCCCCTGCCATGCAGGAAAAGCACAATCAAAGCACCCCTGACAGATGGCCATCCAGTCTCTGTTTACAAGCGTCAAAGGAAGGTGCTTCCACCACACTATGAGGCAGAGGGGTCCACTGCTGAATAGCTCTTACAGTCAGGAAGTTCTTCCTAATGTTCAAGTGAATCTCCTTTCCTCTAATTTGAACCCATTGCTCCAAGTCCTAAACTCCAGGGCAGCAGAAAACAAGCCTGCTCCCTCTTCCTTATGACAGCCTTTCAGATATTTAAACATGGTCTCCCCTCAACCTTCTTTTCTGCAAGCTAAACATACCCAGTTCTTTAAGTGCTCCTCATAAGGCATGGTCTCCAGAACTTTGATCATTTTAGTTGCTCTCCTCTGGACACTTTCTTGTCAATTTTGCTCTTGAATTGTGGTGCTCAGAACTGGACACGGTATTTCAGGTAAGGTCTAACCAAAACAGAATAGAGAGGCACGATGACTTCCCTTGATCTAGACACTATACTCCTTTTGATGCAGCTCAAAATTTCATTGGCTTTTTAAACTGCTGCATCAGACTGTTGGCTCATGTTCTACTTATCCATGAAGACTCCCAAGATCTTTTTCACATGTACTGTTGTTGAGCCAATCATCTCTGTATTTCATTTCTTCTGTGTAAGTGTAGTATCTTACATTTGTCCTTATTGAAATTCATTTGGTTAGTTTTGGTTCAGGTCTCCAATTGGTTAAGATCATTTTGAAATTCTGATCCTGTCCTCTGGAGTATTAGCAATCCCTCCTAATTTGGTGTCATGTGCAAACTTGATAAGCATGCCCCTAAACCTTCATCCAAGTCATTAATAAAGATGTTGGACAGTACTGAGTCCAGGACCGAATCCTGCAGCACCCCACTAGTCACTTCTTTCCAGGATGAAGAGGAACCATTGGTGAGCATCCTTTGGGTTCAGTTATTTAAGGAATTACAAATCCACACAATAGTAGTATTGCCTAGCCCACATGTTGCTAGTTTGTTTGCAAAAGAAATCATAGGGAACCTTGTCGAAGGCTTTACTGAAATCAAGATACACTACATCCACAGCATTCCCTACATCTACTAAGCTTGTAACTCTACCGAAAAAAGAGATAAGATTAGTCTGGCATGACTTATTTTTTAGAAATCCATTCTGAATTTTAGTCACTTTTGAGCACTTTCAATCACAGCATTTCTTAGTGATTGCAGACTGCATCCTTAATTATCTGCTCCAGAATCTTTGCTGGTATTGACATCAGGCTGACTGGACAGTAATTGTTTGGGTCCTCTTTTTACCCTTCTTGAAGATAGGGACATCTTCAAGTCTGCTCCTCCAGTCTGCTGGGACTTCTCCTATTCTCAAAGATGATTGCCAATGGTTCTGAAACTACTTCTGTTAGTTCCTTCAATACTCTTAGATGTAATTCATCTGGCCCTGGAGACTTGAATTCATTTAGAGTAGGAAGGTAATCCTTGACCACTTCTTTACTTAGGTTGCATTTCCCTTATTGCCTCATCTGGTCCATATTGCTTGGATTGAACACTAATTTCCTTTTGGGAGAAGACTGAGGCAAATAAGGTGTTGAGCAGCTCTGCCTTTTCCCTACCCTGTTAGCATTTCACTGCCTTCACACAGAGGCCCTACCGTTTGCTTGTTCTTCCGTTTTCTACTCACATAGCCAAAGAACACCCTTTTATAGTTTTAATCTCTTTGGCAAGCTTGAGCTCATTTTGTACCCAGCCTTTCGAACCTTTTCCCTGCATGTGTTGGTTCTTTGTTTAAATTCCTTTTTGGTGATTCCCCCCTTTCCCTTTCTTGTTCAAGTCCCTTTTAAATCTTAGCTCAGTTGAAAGATCTTTGGACATCCATTCTAGTTTCTATAAATTTCTTATTTTCTTCTTTTTCTTCACACTGTTTTCAATTGTACCTTCAGTATCTCACTTCTAAGAAAATCCCATCCATCGTTAAGTTCCAGAGTGGATGAACCACCCAATTGACATGGAAGCCACCAGCAACCACTGAATTTTAATTGTGTTAGTGAAATTTCTCCACTTAAAAGAGAAAACGTGAACTCTGTCTGGGATTTTTTTAGTTTCATTAACTGCAATGTGAGTTAGGTAAAAGCTGTGCATCTTACTGTTTGATAGATAACGTATTGTCTCTCTTTGCTCTCCTTAGATGGTAGAAGATATGTTGCTTCTGACAATGAGGAAGAGTGCTACTTGAATGACCAGAATGCAGTTCTGAAAAGTATTTATTTCTAATTACATGTATCATTATGTATTTACTTACTTTGTTACAAACCTTAATTTGTCTCCATGATTGTTTCCTAAGAATTTGTGCAGCATTTCGGTACAATGTCTGGTGCTTTCACTATTTCAGCAAAAAATAAATTATAGAATTATAAATCTAGAATTGACAAAGGAAGACAGGAAAACTTACAGCTGTCTAATAGCACATTAGACCTTTGATTCCGTCTACCTCTGTACTGAGTGGCGGAATCTAAGGTTTCAGTCATAGGCTATTCTCATCCCTTTTAGAGGTGCCATGCAGATCATATTGGCTGACATCCTTTTGATTACATATGCAGGTATAACAGTGTCTTAGACCATCTACCCTTTTGCTTTTATATATGACTCATAATTAACCATTAAAAAAATCTAGTCGTAGCAAAGGAGATTAGAAGGCTTGTCTTCATTGATAACACTGTATTTCTGATCACAAAAAGGAAAAGAAAATAGAATTAAGTACAGGCAACAAGTTGCATTGAATATTTCTCCCACCCCTTCTTTTTGTGTAGAATATGCTGCTACCAGGACTGTACACAAATATGAAAATGTTTTATTAAAAATGTGTATCTTTCCCAATCTAGGTTACAAACGTTCTGCACCACTGAACTTGCCAAACTTCTGAAGAGTGACAGCTCCAGATTTTGTCTACGTGGACTAATTGTTTTACTCACTCTTCACAATATTCCAAAATTCCAACTATTGTAAATAATTTTAAAGATCGTATCTTTTTCTCATTGTGCTCCTGTGACATGCTATATTTTGGAGAGTAATTCAAGTCAATCTGTTTGGATAAGCATTACTATGTCAATCTATTAAAGGTGGAAATTGTTGCATGTTATGCAATTTGTCACATTAACACTAATAATCTTTATTGAGTATTTTGTAGACCTGGGCAGTTTGTTGTGAAGTATCAGTGGCCATTAATTTTCATTATGATAAATGCAGGTATGTTTTAGCTTCAGTTGAGATACAAGTTTTTACAAAGCACAGTGCCTCTGACTGCAACATTCAACACCCTAATGTTAACCGCAAAAGGAATTACTAGTGACTCAGAGATACAGAGATGCAAAGTGAAACCTCTACCCTTGACAATCATATTTGACATTTATGCGACCCACATTACTGGAGTACTAAATGACCCAGAGCTTTTAATAATTATAGCATACATTTTCCAAAGTAGGGACACATATAATACATACCATTTTACATTGTGAATGTTTATACAATCTGGTGCCACAAGCTTTAAATAAGTAGGCTTTAAAGGAGACTTGGCACAATCTTTGCTCCATGTCTCAAGGCTTAGGCTACTGTAAGTCACTGCATTTCTACATCCATGCTTGTGCTAGGTCTGTGGTTCAAAGTCTTCCAGATGCTCTTCTGCAACAGTTCACAGAACAGCAACATCACTGGAATTGATTCTGTGGATATGTCACAAGATCCAAGTAAATTTGTCTTTGGAGAAAACATACATTTTTATTTTAAAATTCCTGAGTATTGTGTTCGTATTTCTATGAACCTTCTCCATTAATTTAGAAAGAATGGATTTTAAATAGATGTCCTCTTTTTCTTTTGCTGTGTGATATACATATATCTTGATGTGAGGTCTTCCAGACTTTCCAAAATTTTTCTAATATAATATAGTACAATTTCTCCATAGTGATCTTTTGCTTTAAAGCCATTGAAAACATTGCACACATTCTGAGTAGTTTTCTTATTAGAGTGTAATATAGATAGATGTGTTTCTAGCTGCGGTAATTGCCTTAATTTCATAGGAACATAAGACTACTGTGTAATCAGCTATTACTAATGTAATTACGCTGACAAAAATGGTTCACAAAGAGACAGTGTTACAGTTGCTCCTACATCAGTGCTGATTGTACTAATTTAATAGTGAGTCACATTTGTCACTGAAGTGGATAATGTGGGACAGCAAAAATCCACATTCTAATTAAGATTTATGAAAAGCGTTATTTTGAGATGTGCTTTCAGGATAGTTTTGACTTTTCAAGATTAATCAGCACCCTTTGTCATTCTAATATACTGTTACTATTGTTTGCCTTAATGCAGTGTTTTTTCAAGGCATATGATAGCCTTCTACAAAAATTCAGGAAAAAATCTGTAAATGTACTGACTAATGGAGCAAGCAAGTTCATTTTACAGAATACATATGAAATAACCAGTGGTGATCAACATTTTGGGGAAGAGCATTCTAAGTTTGGGTTTTTTTTTTGACAATACATCCTTATAACACTATGATTCCCATTTTAAGCCCACAGTTCTATCCTATGGAATCCTGGTATTTGCAGTTTAGTGAGGGCTAATATGAATTTTCAAACAGAGAACTCTAAAGCTCCCCAAATTACAAATCCCAGAATCCTCTAGGTTGGAACTATAGAAGTTAAAAGGATATTCTGGTGCTGTAAGGCTATAGTGTAAAAGGGCCCTAATTCTCAAATATGAACAGTGTATTGTGCACAGTTCATTTGCTGTTCTAAGGTTTTGAATTAATGCTACTGGAGTGGAAAGCAGGCAACAGCACACTACTAGAGAGAAAATAGAAAAGATAGTCATGACTAGCCACATACTTGAATCTTGCTGCTCCTATCCAGAAAATCCACAAATCTCACATGTGGCAACTGTTTTGCAGATCAGCCATCTAGAAGTTATAATAGCTTCTGAAACTTAAATATAATATATGAGAAGTAACGATGTGCCTACAATAGGTTACTCTTTGTGATAACACGACCACATAACATTAAATGCTAGAGCATCCTGGTTTTAATGCAATGAGCAACATTTATTTATCATGTATGTCAAAAATTTCATTTTGGGGTCATCGAGGAGAGAATTGAGGCAATTTTAGTATGGCAACAAACACACACATGTATCACAATTTGCAAATAATGTTAACATGGTATACATTTTAAAGCAGGCGTTCTTAAGCTTTTACCTGTGACCTCCCTGTACATCTACATGCTTGTAAGGAGCAGCGTGGGGGAGGGGAGGGGGAGGCAATGATAAAAGATACTTACTTGGTGCTGGAAATTTACAGCAGTCTGCAGAACACTTAATTGAGAAGAACACCCTCTCTTCTACCATCCTTTCTTTTCCCCTAAATTGCCCTCTCTCCTCTTGCTCCATTATTCAATCTCCTTCCACCCCAAGTGAGTGAGCAAGGGAAAATGTTCACAGTCAGGCTCTAAAGTTATTCACAATTTTTCTGCTTTTGTGGAAGTCTCATGTTTCTAACCTATACAAACACTGAGAGACTCTGTAATAATTTAGTTATTATTTTTGAAAAAGTTCTTGCACCCTCCTTTCAGGAACTATCACGCCTTCCCCTTGAGCATTTTGCCCCACAGTTTTATAACCACTCTTTTAAAATAATGTTTCATAATTGGTCTAAAGTACCAATTATCAGAGACAACGGTTTCAAAACAATGTTCCTTCTGATCAGTAGCATGTAATTCAGCTTAACCTCATATCCTCAAATCATTAACCCATTAGAAAGGAACATCAGATGATACTGACATCAGGAATGAGGTAAGTTGAACGATGTGGATATGGAACAGGAAGTTCAACATCAGAATTTCCAGAATGTTTCAGTGGACATTTTCTGATAACATGCATTTCTGTATTTAGTAGGAAAAATAAACTTTTAACTTCTGAGAACTGTACTTCTCTAAGGTAAAACTATCACACTTGCAAACTTTTAATGAAATCAGTCTATCTCAATTTGAATGATAACATAAGTCCTAGAAAGCAGGACTTCTTAAAACCAGATCTATTTTGTTTTAAATTGAAGGAAAAGCACCTTGCCAGGTTTAGAAATTGATAGATGTCACTGATAAAAAGCACACATAGAAAAGTAAAAGGAACAAAATATAGTAACATAAAGTAGGAAATGTGTAATTCACTAGACATCACCTTCCATCATCAGTCTTTAACCTGCAAAGACAAATGGTGAAGGATGAGGGAGCTGAAATCTCATATCTGAAAAGCCACACATACCTTATCCTGGATGTAAAACAACACACTATGAAATCTTCAGAGTAAACTCTGCAAAAGCACTTAGTTTTGATCTTATAGGTGCATATCTCACATATGATGTTGCTATTCACATGTAAGGCAAAGCTATATATGGAAACATCACAGGTATCATGACCAGGGCCGTAGCGGGGGGGGGGGGGGGGGGGGGGGGGGGGTGGTTAAAAGTTCAACCCTGCCCTGAAATGTGTCAGGTTAAAAAAGAAATATAGGTTGTTTACCTGTAACCGTAGTTTCCCGAGTGATCGCCTGTGAATCACACATATGGTAGTTTCTGCGCCTGAGCAGACAGCTTTGGAACCTTCTAGATAGATTTGAAAAACTTTGGCGGTTGGCCCCTCCCACTCTCCCCTTGTGAGTATAAGTAGCAGGTGGGCAGCGCCACCGCCTCAGTTCTTCCGCCGCGGAAGCAGCCAGAAAAACCAAGGCATGACAACAGCGGGGAGGGTGGTTGGGCTCAATTAAGAGGGTGGCATGCATCTCTGATAAACTGGGGCTCGGGGAACCAACTCCCTGCCCAAAAGGAGGAGATACTGCCGGCAGCACAAGGCAGGTGACTCTTCAGCTCTCTCTGTCGACTCCAGTGCAGCTCCAGTGCACCATTGCTTCCGCCAGGGCGTTACTGAGGCTTAGCCCTCTTGGCCTTTTCTTTCGCGCCAATTTCTTTTGCGCCAATGGCGCCTTCGAGCTGGCGGCCATTAATGGTAAGTCCTTTTCTCCTGAGGGAATAATGGCGCCCACAAAACCATTGGCTTGGGGGAGGGGGAGTAGCCGGCGCACGCTCATAGAGGGTTGATTTAGGCGGAAAATCCGTTTTTGTTTGTTTGTTTGTTTGTGGCATAAAAGACATAGATGGAACAAGATTGTGGATAAATGTCCCTCCCTTAAGCAGAGAAGACACGAGTATGGACATCATTAACCAAATAGCTAGCTTAGCACAAAGCACAGCATTTAAAAGCTGAAGACCGCCATTTCAATTAAAAAGGGAGAACAACGTCAAAGAATAAAAGTCCAGTCAGACATTATTGGCAGTCCAATAAGCTAGTCACACGATGAAGGTCCTTAGCTGCTGACAGAGCGACGGATCAAAAGAACTGAGGCGGTGGCGCTGCCCACCTGCTACTTATACTCACAAGGGGAGAGTGGCCGGGGCCAACCGCCAAAATTTTTCAAATCTATCTAGAAGGTTCTGAAGCTGTCTGCTCAGGCGCAGAAACTACCATATGTGCGATTCACAGGGATCACGATGGGAAAACCTGGTTTACTCATAACTTGGTTAACCAGTTAACATTCTTGAGTAAACCAGGTTTCGGGAGGGGGGGGTGTAGAACCCTTAACCCGCCCCGCCCCCCGGCTACAGCCCCGAACATGGCAATATCCCATATCTTCATACATTATTATTATTATTATTATTAACTTTATTTGTACCCCGCTAGCATCTCCCGAAGGACTCGATGCGGCTTACAAAGGCCAAGGCATACATGTAGCACAAAGGTTCTTATAAGCCTGCATAACTGCATTCTCGCTTATTCATGATTAGGTACTCACTTTTTAAGCTTTTGTGGTCCTGGGACCTCTGTAACCATACTCAAACAAAAAAATAAAATCCAGAATTCAATAACAGACCTTCATACTCAAGTCATGAAAATCTGGCATGCTACCTTGATGCAGCGAGAATGCGGTTATGCAGGCTTATAAGAACCATTCAGAGGGTTTGCCACAAGGAACTCAAACTTGCACAGATGACTGGAGAAATTCCAATGAAAATAATATTAGGGGTGCTTTAACCTAATCTAAGCAAAACAGAATTACATAACTGAGGCTGTCCAATAGTAGACATTTTTGCTTTGTAGATGAACAAGAATTACAAGGCTTATTGCAGCAAGGGGTTCAACTCTCTAGGAAATACCTTATTCTTTTTGTAGTCAAGACTTTTCCTCTACATTTTCGCATCATCAGGATGCTGGTGAAGATCCAGGATGAGAAATTAAATTGCATCTGGAGTCCAGGCACCAATTGTTCACAACTGTTACACGTGGCAACTCACAGTTGCATTGGACTAAGTAGCACTCTGATCTGAGATCCACATCACAGCACAGTAAATGAACAAATCCAATGTGGATAAAGGCATGTCACTATTATCCCTCATGGTTTACTTGGCAGTGATGTAGCACTTCGGTTATCAGAATGCTACTATTAAGAGACTTTTGAAAGGACTCCATTCCATCCTAGTCTGTGTCTCTGTATTGCTCCAGCTCATATTAAAGCTCTTAAAGCCTATTTTATCAGTGGATCTTTGGGTCTGTAGGAGCAGAATTATAATGCTAATGTCATATTATCCTGAAGATATGAACTACGTTGTGAAATACATATTAAAAGGATTAAAACCTCAGTACACAAAACAGTGATGAATGCTAGCTCAGATTCTATTTACCTGAATAAATTTACACTGTTAGTTCGGTTTAAAAATCTCAACCAAGTAATCAAAATTGTCATAAATATATAGATCGATATTTCGGACTGATCTTCAGTATTTCAATCATGAGCATTACTTAGAAACCTGGAAATAAATACCACCTCTGCCCAGTATACACAGATACATGCGTAATTCCAAATAGATTATAGAGTCTAATTGTTACTTGGATATGAAAGTGTTTATTTAGCAGTGCAAGAAACCTCATAATTTATGAAAATTGTATTGTGCTATAAACATCATTGTTAATAGGAAGTGGAAGCACAAAACTCTCAGGACAAGATTAGAAAGGTAGAAATCTTATCTTATTTGCACTGGTAAAAAAAACTTGAAAAAATTCACATGTGTGATAATTTATGTCTACAGTTTTGATGGATTTTTGCTATTGCATGATTTTATCTATTAAATCAATGTGCCATTTGTATTGTGATACATTGCCCTATTTAATTAAAATAAGTATTAGGAGGAAGTTAGAAAAAGTATCAAATCAAGTATTATTATTTTTTTAAAAAAAGAATAATTTAAATAGAGTTCAGTTAAGAACTACGTGCTATAGAAGGGAAAGTGCTGGATAGTAATATAGGAAGCTGTATTCCTATCTGCTCACAACACAATGTCACCCACTAATGGAATGCATGGCTTTCTCCTTTTATAAATTCCACGTATCCCAGATTTGCTCTATAAAAGTAATTCCCAACCTTTTTTTTTTTTTACCAGGGACCACTTTGACCAGGGACCATTCTCCAACATTAGTACCAAAAGGGTTACAAATAAGTTTTTGGTCAATTTTAGATGCGGTTTGGTTATTTGGGGTGCTGATTCAGAAAACTACATTGGATAGACTACATCAGCTCTAGTTTTTGATACAGAACATATGCCATCCAGTAGTTGCCATCTGTTCACCCACCAAAAACCATATTTAATAAGCCTCGGCACTATAAGAGGGTTTTGCGAGACCAGTTGCTCTCATTGCAATGGTGTAGTAACGATGAGGCTGCGGACCATATTTTACTTCTTGCAGACCACTGGTGGTCCATGGACCACAGATTGGGAAGTACTGCTCTAAAAGATGTATATGTGTGTGATCTATAGGAGGGAGAAAGGGAAAAGAAAGTTTATTATGCAAGCAGTAATATGTACTGAATGCTCCACTTTATTAAAGAGAGACAAGCAATCACCATATACACTGACATACATAGGTTTATAGTGCAGTGGCAGTGCTTTCAGTAATTCTGAAATGGTTTCTTAAAAATGAAAATTCTGGAAACTTTGACATTTTGTATATTACTAAATTTATTGCCAAGTTTTGCTGATCAAAAAAGATAATTGATTTGGGTTGTGGCTCAACAGTCATGACTACACTATTACTTTCTCATCTGTTATATTTTTCCCTTGTTAGCAATGTATTTTTCAGTAAGAATGTTGATTAGATAAAAATTATTTCAAAGTTTTAGTATTAAAAAACTAGTAAAGCTTAGTGAACAGATTACAAGTTCGTTTCAAAGTTTCCTTCAGTTCCTAACACTTCAACATTAAATAAAAGGAATTCAAACTGCATATAACATGCATCATTTTAAAAACACCTTTAGTAAAGCAACTTCTCCGTAGTCTCTGAAAAGATTGTTTAGGAGGAATTAGGAATAAGTATGCTAGGTTGAAACAAAACCAATTTCACAATGTTATGCAGTCACATTAGCAATATTTTTCAAATATTAGGCTTCTATTGGAGGTTTGTGAGTTTAGAATTATCCAAGAAACATTTGACATTCAAACAGGTTATCTGGTTATTTAGATTCAGTCCTATTTTTGCAATCTTTTTTGAGCCTGTAATAACACAAAGTCTTGAAATGAAATTGAAAAAAAATGATAAAATCCAGTGTTTTTATGGTGCTGTTAACATGAAAAAATATTTATCTATGTTATCTATGTTAACATAAACTAGAATACAACTGAAATTAAAAGTAGCCATGATATAACAATAATAAATCAAGTGAATTTTTATAAACATTACCAACATCAAATGCAATTACTAAGCAACCCTTTAGATCATATTGTGGATTGGTAACTGAGATGCTTTATTCAACTTTCAGTCCTTTAGATTTAAATTCAGAGTGAAGAATCTGTGATAAGCATCTCCCAAATTCTTCTAAGATCATTCGTTCTGCTAAACAAACAGAGTAAGCTTCTTTTTCTGCCTCTTCAGCTTGTGCCAGGAGACAGGCACATGTTGCCTCCACCACTTCCCATGATATACATGTATTAGATTGCCTACTGGAACAAAAACAAAAACAAAAACAAAGAGAATGAGAGAGGGGATGGATGGATGCAAAAATAGTTTCCATTGCATTCAGTAATATGCTGTTGTGTTCAAGTCTGACTTATGGCAAACCTAAGGCAAACCAACATGGGATTTTCTTGTCAAGACTTATTCAAAGGGAGGTTTGTCATTTCCTCCCTCTCAGCCTACGAGAGAGCGTGAATGGCACAAGGTCACCCTGGAGGTTTCCATGACTCAGTGGGGATTCAAACCCAGATCTCCAGGAACCTAGTTCAACACCTAAACCACTATGGCATGTTGGCTCTCAGTAATACTAGTATACTCAAGTGTTGAGTTAAATGTTTGGAGACAAATGTATCAAGGAACCAGATTCATCTCTGCACAGATACATAGTGGTCAAGAACAGTTTGTAACAAACAGCAGGAACAGCATGTTTAACCCTTCCAACTGCAACACACACCCCTTCCCCCAATTAGGAAATACTAGCAGGAAAAGTAGGTAGACTAGAAAGAGGGTTCAGGATAACAAACAAATTAGGGTTAAACATCCTTCTTCTGCCCTTCATATACTGGCACAAAAGAGCTAACAGAATAATAATAATAATAATAATAATAATAATAATAATAATAATAATCTTTATTTATACCCCGCCACCATCTCCCCGATGGGGACTCGGAGTGGCTTATAACTGTACCTCTGCAACAGTGTAATGCTGAAACAAGTAATCAAAGTCAGTCTGAATACCTTCAGATAAAATGAAACAGGGAATAACAGACAGAGGTTGAAAGGACCCAAGAGCTAGACTGAAGGGTTTGCCATCATGATCAAATTTCTTATATGCTTAATAGTGATCTATCTATTTAAAGATATATGTATTGTCGAAGGCTTTCATGGCCGGAATCACTCAGTTCTTGTGGGTTTTTTCGGGCTATATGGCCATGTTCTAGAGGCATTTCTCCTGACGTTTCGCCTGCATCTATGGCAAGCTTCCTCAGAGGTCTGCTGGAGCTGGGAAAAAGGGGTTTATATATCTGTGGAATGACCAGGGTGAGACAAAAGGCTTTTGTAAGTTGGGCTAGGTGTGGATCTTTTCAACTGACCACCTTGATTAGCATACAATGGGCTGACAGTGCCTGGAGCAAACTCTTCTTGAAAGGTGATTAGATGTCCCTGCCTGTTTTTCTCTCTGCTGTTTTAATTTTAGAATTTTTTAATACTGGTAGCCAGATTTTGTTCATTTTCATGGTTTCTTCCTTTCTGTTGAAATTGTCCACATGTTTGTGGATTTCAATGGCTTCTCTGTGTAGTCTGACATGGTGGTTGTGAGAGTGGTCCAGCATTTTTGTGTTCTCAAATAAAATGCTGTGTCCAGGTTGGTTCATCAGGTGCTCTGCTATGGCTGACTTCTCTGGTTGAAGTAGTCTGCAGTGCCTTTCATGTTCCTGGATTCTTGTTTGGGCGCTGCGTTTGGTGGTCCCTATGTTTAGTGGGACCACCAAACGCAGCGCCCAAACACAAATCAAGGAACATGAAAGGCACTGCAGACTAATTCAACCAAAGAAGTCAGCCATAGCAGAGCACCTGATGAACAACCTGGACACAGCATTTTATTTGAGAACACAAAAATGCTGGACCACTCTCACAACCACCATGTCAGACTACACAGAGAAGCCATTGAAATCCACAAACATGTGGACAATTTCAACAGAAAGGAAGAAACCATGAAAATGAACAAAATCTGGCTACCAGTATTAAAAATTCTAAAATTAAAACAGCAGAGAGAAAAACAGGCAGGGACATCTAATCACCTTTCAAGAAGAGTTTGCTCCAGGCACTGTCAGCCCATTGTATGCTAATCAAGGTGGTCAATTGAAAAGATTCACACCTAGCCCAACTTACAAAAGCCTTTTGTCTCACCCTGGTCATTCCACAGATATATAAACCCCTTTTTTCCCAGCTCCAGCAGACCTCTGAGGAAGCTTGCCATAGATGCAGGCGAAACGTCAGGAGAAATGCCTCTAGAACATGGCCATATAGCCCGAAAAAACCCACAAGAACTAAAGATATATGTCTTAGAAAACGTATGGGTATTACGCAGGTAATCCTTAATAATTACCTGTCTTTTCTGGGATTTGACCATATTCCTAAATTAGAAAATGATACAGCATCATTTTCTTCATGACTTTTAATCTCCATATCGTTCGGCATATTGATTAGTGTTTTTCGCTCTGGGCTTTCTTCATAATTTTTGCAGCCAACACATTTACAGATAGATGAACACATAATTTTAGCCTACAAAATTGAAAAAAAATCATGAAGAGATCATATTTTAAAATTCAAATACAAAAGTGATGTATGTCTCTACATAACTCCTTGTCTATCCATAAGAGGGCTTGTTGATGCTCGTTTCTCAGGATGCTGAGATGGTCTTATGAATGTGTTGGTGAGCATCATTTTAAAAAATCCTCAAGAGTAGTAAGCAAACTATTTCTTTATTAATAGTATAAACAAATAAGACCTGTGACACGATCTTGCATTGCGATAGTGTTTCTAGTCAGGACCTTAACTATCCCCTCTTCTAGGATACTGCATGCCAACAAACCTCAACAGTGTGTCCTTATTTTCTACCTACTGAGTCCCTCTCAGTCCGCACTGGACTATGTTATGGATGTCTGTTTTGTAGAATCTTGTGGCTTATCCTGTAACATATATTGTTCCCATTCCTACATTTGTCACTAAAAAGGCCATAAGGCCATTTACCTTTCTATACTTATACACTGACCAGAATTATACCACACATTTGTTAATGAATTAGGGTAGGTCCTAATTTCTGAGTATTTTCCCATTCTGTGCCCACACTCCCCTCTAATACTACGTTTTTATGAAGCTAGATGAGAAAATTTTATTCAACAAACCTCAAAGCATTCACAGTAATTCTTTAAGCACCCCGAACGCTTACAGTTACATCCTTTGTTATGTCTGGGCTTGATATCTCCAAGTTTTCCTTTTCCAATCTTTGGCAGAAAAGCTTCTGGGTTTCTGTCAAGACAAGCCTAAAATAAAACATTTTATTTATATACAAGACAAGAACTTTGATCTGCATAAAATAAAAAGTTCAGCTCATATCTTCTAAACTGTGCTCTTACTGACATGTAATTATGTTTTAGATTGCAAAGGATGCTGCTGATCACATGCACTCTCTGGCCCCTTCAACACTGCCCAGGATCTGATCCCAGGATCTATTTATCCAAATTATGTCAGTGGACATAATTTATATATAATCATATAATCGTTTGAAGCAGATAATCTGGGATCAGATCCTGGGCTATAGAGCAGTGTAGAAGGGGCTTTGTTGCACTGAATAAAATATGCTTATAGCAGTAGGCCTACAATTTATGTGCCTACTATAGGTAAGGTAAAGATTTTCCCCTGACATTAAGTCCAGTTGTGTCTGACTTTGGGGTGTGATGCTCATCTCAGTTTCTAACCCAAAGAGCTGGCATTGTCCATAGACACCTCCAAGGTTCTGTGGCCGACATGACTGCATGGAACGCTCTTACCTTCCCGCAGAAGCGGTACCTATTGCTCTAGTCACATTTGCATGTTTTCGAACTGCTAGATAATGTGGAATTTTCTATACTATATATATACTACTATATATGTGCCTACTATACAGTCATATATTTTATAACTGTATACAAAATTTAATAATTTTTGGCATGCAGGATCAATAATAAAATGAAGGAGTTTGGCATGTGTAGGTATGTGTTTAACTTTTATATTGTGTGATTTCTTGTGGGTACTTTGTATTTGTTACATGTCTTATTCAGTTTGTATTTTCTTTAGCTTTTACTTAATAACAAAAGATTACCTAAAAATGCTTCCAAGTCAGTTTTTTTAACAGCTCTCCATTTTTTTCTTATTATTTGCGTTAGAGTGATTAAAACAAAATGGATCTATGCCTTCTTTTTAGCATGATGAATGGAACTAGTGAGGCAGGCATATCTACTCCAACAATTTCTCTTTGTTTTACTGTTCAAAATGCTCAGTAGGGGATTCTACTAAGCTGTCACTTAGCTTGCCTACTGAGAGCAGACATACACAGCTACAGTAGGATCGACTGGAGTAGAATCCAATTCTTTACCAGTATCAAGTTTATTGCATGGTTCACTGCAGGCACATTGGTGCAACCTGAAACCAAAAGTCTGTGTTTCTCCATCCCTCCTTCACCAATCTCCCAGTGCCAATGCTGTTAAAAATTTCCAGCAAGGCAAAGGTGAGGAAGAAAAGGGGACCTGGGCAGGTTTTGAAAGACTGCATAAAATACACACAGTCCTATATCCCAGACTATCAAGATAGAAAATTCCACATTATCTGAGTGTGGACTCAGGGCCCTTCCACACAACCATATAACCCAGAATATCAAGGCAGAAAATGCCACAGTATCTGCTTTGAGCGGGGTTATCCCAGCGGTGTGGAAGGGACCTCAGATAACCCACTTCGAAGCAAATACTGTGGGATTTTCAGCCTTGATATTCTGGGATATAGGGCTATGTGGAGGGTCCTACGGCTTTTTTAAAAAAACTAAAGCCCCTTCTACACTGCATATAAATTCCAGATTATCTATTCCGAACTGGCAGTGTAGGATCAGATAATCCAGTTGAAAGCAGATAACATGGATTATCTACTTTGATAATCTGGTTTATATGGCACTGTATAAGGGGCCTAAATTGTACCGATATTAAGATGTTCCTGTACTATCATTTCAACATATTTTTATTTTTATAATTCTAGTGGATTATGTAGTTTAAAGTTGCACTGATTCAAAAGGAGACTTTTATGAGGAAAGTGAGTATGCTTAATCAACATTTTTTGACTGAAGAATAAGAAATGATCGGCATATGCTTTCAAAATAACATAGTAGACTAATAAATTTAAAGAACAGAATGAGTCATTTTGGGGCAAAGATTAGAAAATAGGGCATACTTATATTACCTTAATGGCATTAAACCGTTCTATTTCATGTTGTGGATTATTGTAACAATTATTACAGTTGCAGTTATAGCAGAAATCACCATTGGCAAAGCAATCACAGTACCTGTATTTAACCAAAAAAAGGATACAACATATATTTTATAATTCATTCATTTCTAGTTAAGGCCCCTTCTACACTGCCAAATAAAATCCAGATTATCTGCTTTGAACTGGATTATATGGCAGTGTAGACTCAAATAATCCAGTTCCGAACAGATAAAGTGGATTATCCCCTTTGATAATATGGATTATACAGCACTATAGAAGTGGCCTAAAGGATTATGAAACTGTGATACTAAGTATATGTACTAAAGAGAAAAGGTTAGAGAAGACAATTATGATGGGGAAAATGGAAGGAAAAAGGATGAGGGACCGACCAAGGACAAAATGGATGGATGGTATCCTTGAAGTAACTGGCTTAACTTTGAAGGAGCTTGGGGTGGCAACGGCCAACAAGGAACTCTGGTATTGGCTGGTCCATGAGGTCACAAAGAGTCGGAAGCGACTGAATGAATAAACAACAACAATTATATGTGCTACCATGTATCTCTAGAAAGATAGGACGTTAAGGTTGACACAATATATATTTTTTCAGAAAAACCACAATTCCTGCTAAATGGTCCTGGGATAAATATTGTACTTCATATATAATGAGATATTAATAACCCTGTACCAAATTAAAAGATACCTTTCATATGATAGTATTGATGGAAGATGGCCGAATCCATATTTCACATTTCTCCAACTAAATAGTTTTGGTGGGAGCTCTTTGACCTTCATCAGTGTTCCGTGTATTATATTATCACTGTTATTCCTATTGTTATTAAATATTTCTAGTAAAATAACTAAGTAAAACTTACATATGCGGGTTAAAACAATTAAAAACAGGTAATTTAAATAAACTCAAAGCACTTGAACAAGTTAAAACAGGCTGAGAAAGTTATAACAGTTTCAAACCAGCTGTACATGCATTTTGACATAAACAGGTCCAAAAGACTTTAGCAAGCAGCCACAATTTTACTAGGTGTCTAAATGAAGACTATCTTATTATCCAAAAACAATGACATGCACTTGAGAGCTTAGGAAGGTGTGGAGCTACTCGATCTTTTATGGAAGCACAGAAGGCTATTCCATTCTAGAAAATGCCCAATATGTATGTGTAAGGTTTCTATGACACTATAACTATGGCAATCTTATTGCATTCCTCTTCTACACAGGTAATTGTACTACAGAATGATCTTGGTATTACTTTTAAAAGTGTTTTAATGTTCTGTTAAATGCAAAATTTATTAAGTCAGTCAACGCTGTCTTTCAACATGTACTTGAAATTCAACTTGTTATTGCTAATTAATGAAAGCCAAACAAATTAATGAAAGCCAAACAGATGTTGAACACTTTCAACATGTATTTACATAGAAAAGCAATATGCATGGTTTATTTTTATTTATCCCAATGTTGGGATAAAGTAAGAAAAATAATGTTTAAGATCTACGCTTTTGACATGAGTATGAGAAATATGAACTACAGTAGACTCTCAATTAGTTGGAAATCAAGCAACTAGAACTTTTAAGTAACTAGAATTTTTTTTGAAATATATTTTAAATAAAAATTGAATCACATGTCTAATTCAGTAAAACTATTTTGCATTAATATGCATTAAGTTTGTCGTTGTCTTAATCTTCTTCCAATTACCGGATTTCAATATTAAAATAAAGTGAATGCAGAGTTTAGTATAGTATGAGATACGGTATTAGTTAGGCCTATTTTTAATAGTAATAGTAATAATAGTTTTATTTCTTGGCCACCTGTCCTCACAGCTCAAGGTGGGTTACTGCATTACTAAATCATAAACAAACACAAAATCATTTTAAAATACTCCTTAAATACACATATTAAAGGATGCCTCCATAAAATACTTATCAAAATACACACACACAGACAAACAAGCCATACAGTGGAATTTAAAATTCACCATTAAAACTGGATAGGCTTGCCGAAAGAGATAGGTCTTTACTTGTATCTTAAATTCCGACAGCTCATTGAGTTGTTGGAGCTCTACCAGAGGGCTGATGAAAAGGTCCTCTGGGTGGTGATTGCCAGCCAGTTTGTGACTAGTTGGAGTAACTTCCCCCCAGAGAACCTAAGTGTGCAAGGCGGATTGTACAGGAGAAGGCGATTCTGTAGGTAACCTGGACCCAAACCATGTAGGACTTTAAAGATAAAAATCAACACCTTGTACTTTGCCTGGAAACTAATCAGCAGCCAGTGGAGTGAATTTAGGATTGATGTAACATGCTCACTCCCCCTCAGAAGACCTACAAGCCACTCTAAATGCCTTTGGAGAAGCATACAAAAAGCTTGGCCTTTTACTGAAAATCGAGAAAACCAAAGTGTTCTTTCAACGGGCACCAACCAATCCCTCTGCAATACCAGAAACACAGCTTGATGATGTAACATTAGAAAATGTTGACCATTTTCACTATCTTGGCAGCCACCTCTCCACAAAAATCAACATCGACACTAAAATACAACACCGCCTGAGCTCTGTGAATGCAGCATTTTTCTGAATGGAGCAGAGAGTGTTTGAGGATCAGGACATTCATAGGGAGACCAAGATGTTCTTTATAAAGTTATTATTCTCCAAACCCTGAGAAACGTGGACTGTCTACAGACATCACACTCAACTCCTGGAACAATTCCATCAGGGTTGCCTCTTAAAAATCCTGCAAAAAATCTTGGGAAGACAGGCGAGCAAATGTCAGCATGCTGGAAGAAGCAAAGACCACCAACAATTATCCTCCAGCATCAACTCTGTTGGACAGGCCATGTTGTCCGAATGCCTGATCACCATCTCCCAAAGCAGTTACTCTACTCTCAACTGAAAAATGGAAAATGGAAGATTGGTAGACAGGAAAAGAGATTTAAAGTGAGGCTTAAGGTCAACCTTTAAAACTGTAGCATGTATACAGAGAACTGAGAAGCACTAGCCCTTCAGTGCTCTAGCTGGAGGTCAGCTGTTACCAACAGTGCTGTGGAATTCAAAGAGGCATGAATGAAGGGCGAAAAGGAGAAACACATCAAGAGAAAGGCACATCAAGTCAACCCTGACTGGGACCACTTTCCATCTGGAAACCAATGTCCTCACTGTGGAAGAGCATGTGGGTAAAGAATATGTCTCCACAGTCACCTATGGACCCATCAACAAAACTCTACTCTTGGAAGGTCATCTTACTCAGACACAGGTGATAGCCAAAGATGATGATGAATATGCTCACTCCTAGAAATTCCTGTAACCAGTCTGGCAGCTGGAGTTTCTGAACTTGGTACAATGGTAGCCCAATGTTGAGGCACTGCAGAAGTCCAACCTTAAAGTTACCAGTGTGTGCATTACCATCTTCAGGTCCTCCAAATCTAAGAAAGGGTGCAGCTGGCGGATCAGCCGAAGCTGATAGTAAGCATTCCTGACCATCACATCTACCTGGGCTGACATTTAGAGAGTTGCATCCAGGAGCACTCCCAAGCTACAAACAGTCTTTCAGGGGGAGTATAATCCCATCCAGGACTGGTTGACACACCTCTATTCCCAGATTAGGACCCTTGATGGCAAGCACCTGTTTTGTCTGGATTCAGTTTCAATTTGTCTTTCTTCATCTAGCCCATTACCTCCTCCAAGCATTCATTCAGAGGACACATGCTATCCTTAGCTGTAGCTGCTTTTGAAGACATGGAGAAATATATTTGGGTGTCACCAGCATACTGATAACACCCTGCCCCATGCCTAAGGATGACCTCTCTCAAGGCTTTCATATAAATATTAAAAAGCATTGGGGATAGAATGGCACCATGTGGGATACCACATAGAAGCTCCTGTTTTGAAGGGCAGTTATCCCCACTGCTATCATCTGGAACTGGCCTGAGAGGGATGACCAGAACCACTGTAGCACAGTGTCTCCAATATCCAGCCCCCCCCCCCCCCATTCCAGAAGGACACTATGGTTGATGGTATTGAAGGCTGCTGAGAGGTCTAAAAGTACCAACACGGACACACTCCCCCTGTTGGTGTTGAGACGGAAATCATCCACTAAGGTGACCAAAGCATTCTCAACTCCATATGCTGCTCTGAAGCTGGTTTGAAATGAGTCAAGGAAGTATGTGTCATCCCAGACTGCCTGAAGTTGGAGCCCCAGCAGCTTGTCCACATCAACAGCACTCACCAATTGAAACTGATTCAGTGTAATTCCACTCACATAGTTGCTGGACACCTCATTGTTGTCTTCTGCTCCAATGACAGTGTCTGAGTTGGTTCTTATGCAAGATATTTTATCCATGAAGTGGGTGTTAAAAACATCACAGTGAGCTACTGAAGGTTCTAATAATGAGTTTGGAGGCGAGGGCACCTGGGTTAAGCCTCTCAGCACTCTGAACAACTCAGCTGGACAGGAATCTGCAGACGCAATGCATACAGAGAAGAAAGCTTTCTTCGCTGCATATATTGCCATCTTATAGGAGCAAATGTGCTCTCTGTACCATGTCTTGTCACATAAAAGTCTGCATGGTGCCAGAAATGTATTTACTCACAATTTGAGACACTGTGACTTAGTACAGTTACAAGGCCTTTTTGACTTTGCATCCCAGGAACCACAAGGCAACCTAAATCATTGAGGGGAAAAATACATTAAAATTAGATACAGGTTTAAACTTAGATGCATAAAAGTGATCTGATGATGTGGTTTTTCCTCTTTCCCTCCTACTATTCCCTGAAATTGTTACTAAGAGGATCTAACCTGAGATACTTCAAATGTGAATTACCAACATATGGTAGAACAATTGGATGTTCCAAGAATTAATTCACTAATGTGGCTTAATTTTTACTTGCTATGCATTTTGCCAAGTCAGGAACTGAATATATATCTGACACGAACCATTGAGATATCTGTATAGTGTTAAATTCATCCTAAAATACTACGTCTGCAGAAATCTGAGATTTTGTAAAAATTATTTTCTGTATTGAAAACCACTGTAAACGACAGGAATTTTGCATTAATTTTTTAGTATTGAAAAAAAGGTTCTTATATTGACTCTAGTGATAGCTATTTTTCTTACCCAACTGCAGCCAATTTTGTTGATTCTTGAAAATTTGGATCTGAATGGCAGACATGTGTGGCTCCATTATCAAGCTGCTCAAATAAAAGTTAGAAATTATATTTTTATTAAATCACAATTTTAATACAAATTAAAAAGAAAGCAATATAAAAATACATAAACACGAACAGACAAAATATTCATAAATCCTACTAATAAATGTAGGATAAATAAATGTAAAATGTAAATAAATAAATGTAAAATGTAAACAAATAAATGTAAATAAATGTAAATAAATAAATAAATGTAGGATAATGTAATAAATGTAGGGATAAATTATACTTTAAACAGATATATTATACTTTAAATATATATATATATATATATATATATATATATATATATATATATATAAAAGAATTTTATCCTCAAATAGTCAAAAAATCTTTCTGAGTATTTTAGGAAGGCCTGATAAATGGTTTCAATGGATACACTTTATATATTTTCAAAGATACACAATAAATTATTTTCCATTTGCATAGTATAGTACTGTCATTTCCCCTTCCTCGAAACTTTTTCCTGCTACATTTTCCACTTTCTGTCTCTTCAGTATGTCTTTTGTGTTTTGTAATTTCATAGTACATGCCTTTTTTGGATTTTAAAAGTATTTTTGTCATTTTGTTCAGCTGTAACTTTTATGTTTCATAAACTGCTATTGAAGGTTATTTTATGGGGAATGCATGTTGCTTAAATTCTCAAAAATGGAAATAAGAAGCATAATGAAAAAGAAAGCTACTTTTCAGCAGAACCATGAACCTTAATTAAAAATATATAAACAAGACCTCGAGTGGCAACACAGAAATATGAGACAAGTTAAGCAGATCATGTTGGCGATTAAAAATGTTTAAGTCATTTAGCAGAAAGGAAAAGAGTTAAAAGCATAAGGTCTGTCAAACTGGAAAACACTTGCCTGAAGGAAAAGCTGGGGGGAGGGAGACACTTACCTCTTGTGCACATACATTCAGTTTACCCATAACTGGCAGAAACTGTCCCAGTACAGATGTTACAGAGTTACTTGCCTCTAATGAAGAAAATGGTTATTAAAGTGAGGTCATTCTAAGGCTTACTACCATCACTGTTGTTACTATTACAAATTTTGTTTCCCAACCAGGACTAAATCATTATTCAAGGTGGCTAAAATGAAAACAAGTATATTTCTAGATACATAACGTCAACAGTTCAGACAATTGAGTACAGAAATATTAATTATTCTGATTCTTTACTAGATAAATGGGTGTTTACTGAGTTTGGCATTTTTCCTATTACGTTATGCCCAGCCAAAAATATATCCCATTATTTAAAAAAAGAAAAAAGAAAGGATTTCTAAGCAGGGGACAGCCTATATTTCCAGATAGGCTTTTTAGAAAGATTCCTGGTTTCTATCATGGTGGATTATTGCCGTTGAGCAGAGTACTGATTACCTGGATTAATAATTTGAAGTGGCAATATTTCAATTACAATTAGCTTTCCATATCCACAGATTCAACTGTTCATGCCTTACGATGCAACCGAAGACCCATCTCTTCCAGCAGGTCTACCCATTTCGTTTTCAGTTATGAATTTTAATCTGCATTTTATCAGTCGATTTCAGCTAGTATTTTAACTCTATGTATCTTGTTTTATGTATTTTAATAGTGTTTTATGTCTTATTTTGATGTTGTACTCTGCTTTGAGCAACAAAGAGAGGCTCATTTTTAATTTTTTTATTATAGCTGTTTTTATAGCTGTTTTTATTATAGCTGTTGTTGAAAAGTATTCTTGTTGTAGTAGAGTCTGTTAGCAACACTGCAACTGGTAGTAAGGGTGTTAGAAGAGGGAAAGGGAGTGCTCAAGAGTTAGATGAGGAGCAACAGAGGAAGAGGATCTGGGAGATACTTATGTTACCCACTGATGAAGATTCCTTCGAAGGGTTTTCTGAGAGTGAAATGAGTGAGTAGGAGGAAGGTGATACAGTGGATGTGAATAGGGGAACTAAGAGGGTTACTCGGGAGCAGGAATCAGATGAGGAGCGACAGTGGAAGAAGATTCGGGATATACTTACTGCTCCCACAGAAGAGGAGGATTTCATGGGTTTCTCTGGGAATTATGGGTCTGGGAGTGATGGGGATGAGGATGAATCACTGGATTGGACCAAGGTGCAAGAGGTTCGAGATGTGTGTACTCAAGCAACATCTAGTGACACGTTTCCGGGGTTTTCTGGTGGAGGGGATTGGCAATCGGGAGATACTGTGGAATCTTGGGGAGAGCTAAGTCTTGACAAGAGGTGGAAGAGTTGAAGGGATGGGCGTCGGAGTTAAACAACTCTGGTAAAGGCAAAGGACTTTTTAAAATCTCATGCCTTCCACTGGCAATGTAAGGAGGGAAGCAATGGGCATGACTAATCACAGCCATCTTTAACTATAGATTGTGAAGGCCAGGCCCCCATCTTTAACTGTAGATTGTGAAGGCCAGGCCCCCAATGGTAGAGATTGCAAAAGGTCCTGCTGTTAAACTACATTTCCTATAATGCTTTCCTGCTCATTAGCCAAAACTGATTGACTGCACCTGTAAATAGTAATAAACGGATGAATGTGTCTTGAGGGTCCCCTCCAACTCAGTAGAGGAAGCAAGTGGATGTCAGGAGAGTTTGAATGGTTCTTTCTGCCCAGAAGAAGGGGGTCAGCCTAGATGTCTCTTGATGGGGTCTGTACTATGATTTTTGTTCTCCACCAATTTAACAGGAAGTAACACTTTCAAACGAGGAACAGATTTTCTTTATTATTAAAAAAAGTTTTTTTAATAAAAACTTTAAAAATTCGCCAAAAATCCATGGATAAGTCAAAGGTTATGAAATTTGGTGAGCTAACAGAGGTCCATGTGTTCTACTACTGTAGCAAGTTTCATCAGGATTGGTCTGAAAATGAGGGAGGGAGAATCCCTGAAGTTTCCCCAGTGCCAATGCGGTTGTTTTCCTACTGCACATGTGTCCGCATTAATGAATCGATTCAGAAGTTTCAGAAAGTTTTGAATTTTTTTAAAAAAAATATTCAGAAGAATCAAACCACCAGCACCCCCTACAACCAAAACAAGTTTTGAACCATTTTTTTCCCTCAACCAAGCCTAGTTTTTACTTATTTTGAATTTGTGCTTGTAGTTTTAAACTGGTAGAAAATTACTGTAAGTAACTTGATGTGCTATAGAATGTCTTCTTGAGTGTAAATCAGTAACAGATTGCATGGGAAAAAATGTAGTCTGGATGATACATTCATTTGTTATCCCTTTTAGCTAGGTTCAATAGTGTTCAATACATATACCTTCATGGATTGTTATAAGTTTTTTCAGGCTGTATGGCCATGTTCCATATATCATCAGTTGCAGTGTGCTATAAACACTGTTAATATGAAATTCTATCACTGTGATTAAGGCTAGTATCAACCAGTATGGCATCACTAGGATCGGTATCACCCAGTAAAGGGAAGGCAAGTAGCCCTGATGGCTAGGAGTTCACATGGCTATAAATACTGGGAAGTCAGCCCTTCTTGATAACTTGGCGAGCTAAGCTGGCACTCTGCTGCTTTCCATCCCCACCACAAATCAGCCAGGTGCTACTGTTGCCACTCGAGCAGCAAGAAAGGTGAAACGCTTGTCCTGGATAGAAGGCTTCTTCCTCCCCCGCCATCATCCTAGCAAAAGAAGAGCTCCCCATCGATTGCATTTGTTTGAAAAACATCATGGCACTGGGATGGTTCCTGGTTTGGTGCCAACGCTTTCAGAGAAAGGGAGAAAAGAGAAAGGAGAGAAGGGGAGACCCCATTCTGCCTTTCACTTATGCTACCTGGAGCAGATAGAGGGCGAGAGGAAGAGCCCCTTTGGGTCAACCATTTTAGTGTCAATTGGTGCCATCTGCAGTCTTTCTACCCCTCCTCATTGTTATGGCAGCCTGTGGCAAGGGACATTTTTCGCCGTTTTATTTCTGTTCACTATCTCAAATATATATGATTGTTCTGTACTAATGTTAGAAGGAAATGTTTATAACAGATATAATATGCAATTACAAGTAGCGTGTGCTGTTGTAGAGATGTTTGAGGGCATTTTAAATGCACATTTGGCATATTTTAATGGTTCCTTTGACACCTGACATTTTAAAAATGAAAACTCAGGAAAGATTCCTTCCTGTTCAATTTTCTACTTGTGTCATTATTCAAAGGGAAAACTATTGCATACATAATAATACTTGTAAGAAAATAATCGTGTAGGAAAAACACTTAGTGAAATGCTGTTACTATACTGACCATTTATATCTTGTAAGCTAATTATAACAGCAAATGTCTTTATCATTATCACTGATGAAACATTGACATCTTGTGGGCAGTTTGAGTAAATGTAGCAAGTTTGTTTTGTTTTGTTTTTTTGCTTTCCATGGTTTTCAGTGTTTCTATATACTGTTTTATCCAAAATGTTGGAGACCAGAAATGTTTTGGATTTTGTGCTTTGGAATAGCTTTAAAGAGGTATTTTGGAGATGCAATCCAAATTGAAACACAAAATTCATCTATGTCACACATACTCTTCATACACATAGCCTGAAGATAAGTTTATACAATATATAATATTTTCTTGAAACAAACTTTGTGCACTTTGATCCATCAAAAAGCACATGTGTCACTATCTCAGCCACTTAAGTTGAAAGTTTTAGATTTTTGGAGCATTCTGGATTTCAGAATTCCAGGTAATGGTTGCTCAACGTGTAGTAATTTCATAAGAGTCTAAATGTGAAAAAAATCGCATCCCTCTACCTCTGCCTTCCAAATTTTACAAAGCACTTCAGCACAGGCAGGCATCTGCAATCCAATTCGCATTCTGATTTAGCCATGTGATGTGGTTAACATTTGGGGGTGATTGATACGTATCCCTGACTCCCTCCCAACTTTGCTTGATGTGCTTAAAAACCTTTTCATAATAATAATAATAATAATAATAATAATAATAATAATAATAATAATAACTTTATTTTTATACCCTGCTTCCATCTCCCCGAAGGGCTGCAGTGCACTTTGGTGGTATGTATTATTTGGATGATGCAGTTTGAAGCTAGTTTCAAACTGTATTGAATGGTCAGTGTAGATGAGTTCCTAGTTAGGGCCTGAAGAGAAACTTCCCCATCTTTCCCACACCCTATTCTGCTATTCCATGGGATGTAGACAGGATACTGCTTGCCTCTACATTTTAGTGGGATGCCTCTTTTTATTACCATTACTGGTTGAATGTTCACTACATTCTTATAAATAGTATTGGAATATTTCTAGAGTTAGTGTTCCATCCTCTGGAAGACTGAGCAAAAATGCATTGCCATCTCCAACAAAATGATTCTCACTTTGCACAGAACAGTAAAGAATATTAAAGAGAATGTAAGTGAACCCTCAGATTGAATGTTCTATTTCTCTAAGGTTAATAATAATAATAATAATAATAATAATAATAATAATAATAATAAGTAGTAGTAGTAGTAGTAGTACCCCACCACCATCTCCCCAAAGGGACTCGGGGCTCCTAATAAAGCATTCCAACATACCGCACATAAAATAGAAAAAATTACATAGACATCCCCTGGTGGTGCAGTGGGTTCAACTACTGAGTTGCTGAACTTGCTGACCAAAAGGTCAGCGGTTCGAATCTGGGGAGTGGGGTGAGTTCCCGCTGTTAGGCCCAGCTTCTGCCAACCTAGCAGTTTGAAAACATGTAAATGTGAGTAGATCAGTATGTACTGCTTCCGTGGGAAGGTAACGGCACTCCATACAGTCATGCTGACCACATGACCGTGGAGGCATCTATGGACAATGGCGGCTTTTCAGCCTAGAAATGAAGAAGAGCACCATCCCCCAGAGTCGGACTCAACTAGACTTAATATTAGGGGAAACCTTTACCAAAGTGATAAAAACATGAACAGACATCCATAAAATATCACATAATAAAATTAAAATTCCAAATTCATAAGAAGCAGTCATTAATGTGGATAAAACTGACTGTTTTCAATTAACAAACCCAGTACCGAAGTGTAGCTGCCAAGTTCTCAGACTAACCCTTGAAATCTACTCAAGATCAAAGATTTATTTTAAAAACCATGTTTTTAGATTGGATCGGAAAGCTTGAAGAGAATGAGCTAACCTAATCTCTCTAGGGAGGCCATTCCAGAGTTGGGGGGGCCACCACTGAGAAGGCCCTCTCTCTCATCCCTACCAACCATACTTCAGTAGTTGTGAGACCAAGAGAAGGGCTTCCCCTGCAGATCTTAGAGCCTGCTGAGATCCTGGGTGCCAACAATGCTCATATACAGTAACTGTTTTGTGACCTGAACCTATTTTGACTTCACATGCAATAGGTTCCTCTGCCTTTGATCTACATAGAAAGTTAGAAATTAGCAAAATGTTAAATGATTAGAATAATACCTGATATATTGTCTTTATTTTCCAGAATTGCAATACCTGGCTGGAGATACTTTTGCTGCTCTTGATTGTGAGGAACCAAATGCACTGCTTTCAACTCTCTTGTTTCAGTATTGTTGATGCAGAATATATGAGTGCCACTTTTCAGTTGACAGATTATCTGGAATGTAAAAAGAATTATGATTTATTTCAATAGTTTTCATTTTCAATACAGCAAAATTATTTATGTAAATGAGTTCTTAATAAAATGAACAGTTTTATTACAGTTTATAAAGCTCAAGGCCAGTATTTGTTTATTGTTGAGAGAATTGTCATGCATAATGCATGTCAGCATTATTTATTTATTTATTTGCTTCACTTTTATACCGCATATTTCAGCCTTTAACAGGCGACTCAATGCGGTTCACAGTGCAATTAAAACAACAGTGATACAAAAACCGGAACGACTAGTCGCTCCACAACAATCAACATCAGACAGACAATCCACAAACAACATATACAACGCCTCCATTAGAGAGTAAGAGCCATAGAACATCAAGAAGAGTCTTACTACTAAATAAGTTTGTTTGAGATTTTGATCTTATGCACTACAGGACTTAAAAGATGTATTTAAGTGCTTACATATGTGGGAGAGAAACATGGGAGGAAAAGGTAAACCTAGGCCCCATGCTCTTGCATGCAACTCCCAACTCAACGTTCACTGCTACTGTAGAACTTCCCCACCTCTACTCAAAATAGAACTTTCTTACTGTTTGTGTGACACCATCCAGAGAAGGTTATTCTATAAAATATCTCTCCGTTCCACTGGATTAAAAACAGACATTCAGTGGGATCAGTAAGAGACAATAATTACCATTTGAGGACTGGAATAATTTTTCTGAGAACAGGTGGGTCCTTCTTCTATCACATTTTGTGAAACTGGTAGGTTGTGGCTGTTTTCTTCACTATCTGAATTTTGAAAAACTTCTTCTGATTTATTAGTTGTAATACTAACAATTGCGTCTTTGACTTCAGTCTGAAATATAAAGAAGTTTATGTTAAAGGGTGGATATTTTTCACTGGAAGAAGAAGTGGAAAATAAACTTGTTTGAATAGTACATTTATAATAAGAAAATTAAATTGATATGTAGAATTGGCAATGTATACTGCCATTTTACAGCTATTTAAAAAAATAAATATTCAGTATATTTTACAGACTAATAAAGAAAACATAAGGAAAGAATCTAAAAGCAATATGTTACACTATCTTGAGTTTTAATAAATTAGAAAAACATAACTTTCAACTCTATTGATTTTTAGGATAACATAAAGGAGTAATCATTTAAACTTTTATATCTATTTCCTAGAAACAGAATTATTTCTAAGAATATCAAGGAGCCCTCTTTAATCATACCCCTTTAGTCCAGCATCCTCTTAGATAGATGCTTCCAGGAAGCCTATAACGAGGTGCACGGCAGGTTGTCACTGAAAGACTCAGCCATGCTGCAGTTTTTATTAGATGATTATTTACTCAATTAATATAATTTGTCAAAAAGGATTTGGTGAAACTCTCAAAGCTTCACTATTAAGATCATAAAAAGAAAATGCTTAGTGGGGTCATTGACTGTAGTTTTCTATAAAGAGCAGCAAACCCCTTGTCAGCAAAAGCTAGCTATGGTGATATGCTTACAGTGTGGTCACAACTCTTTAGCAAAACATATCAAATAACTTGTAAAACAGAACCTCTGAAGATGCCAGACACAGATGAAGGCAAAACGTCAGATGAGAATGCTACTGGGACATGGCCATACAACCCGTAAAACAGTTCAAAACACTGAAAACCAAGACTATCAGTTTGTTATAACTTTTCTATTCAGTGTTGATTATTTCTGTCTCATTTTCTATTCTTTTTTAGTATCAATTTTTTGAACATTTTGTTATTAAGGCACACATTCCTCCTTTGGAGGCTAGCACAAAATCAAAAACAAGATTGTTTTGTAAAATTACTTTCTAATCATATTGAATTCTGCTAGAGTAGAATTTTGTTTATCAATGTGACACCATCTACTGTTTACAATATTCCTGGATAAACTGGTTAAGATCTGTTGAATTAGGGATTCTTCAACATTGCACCTGGTGAGGAAGATATGAAGGAAAGAAGTGTGGGAGCTGATTTTGCATCTGTGTCAAGATCCCTCTTTTTGAGCTCATTTTTGTTCCTCCTCTTTGTGTGACTAGATGGAATTGTCATATCATCAGATCGCTAAAGTTTTGTAAGTGGGCTTCATTCTGTTTTCAGTGTTTGTTTTATCTAGATCACAAATACATGTGGAGTAGTTAATTGATGTCAACAATGCTGCTGTTATCATTGTTTCTGGATCAGGTTGTCTTGAATTTATGGGTTATTTTTTCTCTATATGTCTCATAGCCATGTGATTTTCTCTATAATGTCCTTGATATCTCTTTTCATGTGCCATATCTGTCACAGTATGATATTTACCATCCCTTGCTTCCATACCTGTAATGGTGACTAAAATAGTATCCACCCCAATCATAAGTTCCCTGAATTCTGAGGATGAGATGTGCAATGAAATGTCCTGGAAATTCCGAACACTATTTTTGTGGTAAAACCTTTCCTGAAAAATATATTCTCATGTTCAGAGACATTGTGAAAATGAGTGTGTATTTTGGCAACTCTGTAATTTTGCTGGCAGTGGCTGTGCTTAGTGTCTTTGGAACTATTTCGTTATGTAAGGTCTGGTAGTTATAATCTTGGACTTCTAAGGCACTTGATAAAGCCCTTCAGCAAGCCTTATGAAGAAATTCTGTAGTCTTAGGATAAGATGATAGCTATGTCCTACTTTGGTCCTTGCATGTTTGTACATGTATAGTATTTCTATTCCTCCGTTCAATTAAAATACACAGAAATAGTAAAAAAATCAAATCAAAATAAATATGATAATGATATAAATTTTTAAATAAAGTATCGTTATAGTTCTTTGTATAGCAATTGAAGTCCATCAAGGGGTCATAGGAAAAAATAGTTCAACTCATAGGTGCTCCAACTCATAGGTGCCTAACAAAGTAGTAATATTAGAAAAAAATAAAATGTATACTTACAAGTTCATCACAGACAGAAGCACCATCTTGAGATAAAGCACTGGTACCATTGCAGGTTTCTATTATGCAGAACAAAATAGAAAAATTATGGAAATAGAAAAATATGTAGGTAATATTACATTTTTGTAGTTCTTCACTGGCTAAGGCTAGCAATTTCTAGTTAACATAAGCTAGTGTATGAAATTTTAAGCTTGTTGACAAAGGAGGTATCTATCCAGTGCCTCCCTGTGCAATGTTCCTATTCAGCTCCAACTGATGACATGAAACCCATCTCTGCAGTCAATTAGTTGCTAGTGGTGGCAGGGAGAATGAATTCCAGACATGATCCAGCTGCAGTTTTATAGTCAGGGCAGAGGAAAAAGGAGGAGGAGGACGGTCAGTGAGTACAGTGCCAGTTTGAGAAAGTAACAAGTCTTTCTTCCTGGTTGGAAAACTGCAGTCAGATGGTGCCTGTATTAGCTCACCTATAACACATTGAAGCACTTTGCTTAATAAGATGTCCACTGCCTTGTTGAAGAATACATATAAAATGCAGACATACATACACCCATGTTTTTTGCATTTATAAAGGGGAAAATGGAGTAGCCATGGCTGGAAATACAGCAAAGTATTGTGATACTCAGTGCTCACCCAAACATCTCTTCGATTTACTGAGGATGTGCGTGGCAATAATGTGGTCACAATGGACCACAAAAATGTGAGCTGAAGAAGATTTTTTGCCTGAGTAGACAACAGCTGTGCCAGTAACACAATAATCACAATGATGATATATGACACTGGAGGGATGCCTGCAAACTCAGAGAAAGCACTTTTATATGAAGCAGTACTATAATTAAACTCTCCTATGTAGGGATTTAAAAAGAAGAAAAATCTCAGCAGATATGAACACTTACACATTCATATTTCAAAGACACTTACCACCAGAGTCACTTGGCAATGGCTGTAACATTGTCGAATTATTAACAGTTCCTTTGATTTGGTCATAAGAAGCACAGCTATTTGCAACTGCAGTTGGAATTAATAGTGGTCTCAATAATACCTAGGAAAGAAAACATACTATTGAAAACTAATAGTTAAAACTATTTATAATGTAATACAAATAAATATTTAGATTTCTATTCCATATCAGCTTTTTTTGCAGTGGTTTCCGAATGCTATTCCTCCAAGTGTTTTGGACATCAACTCTCAGAAGATCCAGGCAGCTTGGCTGTAAGTCAGGAATTCTGAGATGACGTCCAAACATTTGGAGAAACTGAGTTTGGGAACCATGCCTTAGTGAAAAGTGCTTCTTTTCACTAAGGCACTTTTTTTACAAGCCACAATATCTAGTTTTCATTAAACTTTCTCTCCCTCACTTGTGAAAGCCATATCACACACCTTTTTCTGCATCATATCCCATTCTATTGGAGATCATTTTATGAGGGGACGGGAGTTTGAAGGAGTAAAACCGTTTCCTCTTGTTTTCCTATTATTCCCCCCACCCATGTGGCTGTTGTGGAAACAGCACTCATTCATGAAATGGGAACTGGGAAGGTGGAATTACCAGCAAAAACAGGGGAAATGGTTTTCCTACTTCAACTCCCCCCTCCCAATAAAATGAGGTATCCTACTGTCTAGAGCCCCCTTTTGGCCTCCATCCAAATCTTTATTTCTTTGCATTGCATTTTTAAAACTATGACCAAAGTGTGGGATTGTTAGCCATCTTGAGTCCCCATAGGGAGAAAGGTGGGATATAAAATAAATAATAGTAATAATAATAATAATGCCAGCATAGTGATCTTGTTTGTTGTGTACTAATCTTGTTGTATCTAATAATGATGATGATGATTATGATGATGATGGGCATTGCTCCTTTCACACTTTTTATAAGCAGACCTTTGTTTAATGCCTATACTGTAATTCTTTTTACCTTAGATGGGAGAGCCAGCCCTCTTTCCCAGTGATGGAATAACAAAGCTCTAGATAAGCATATATACCATCAGTTTTGAAAACAAAAAGAAAAATGCACCAGCCTGAATAGAAAGGATTCCTTCGCCACAACTGCAGAAAAGACAGGAGAATCCATCTGAACATGAGGAAGAACTTCCTGACTGTGAGAGCCGTTCAGCAGTGGAACTCTCTGCCCCGGAGTGTGGTGGAGGCTCCTTCTTTGGAAGCTTTTAAACAGGGGCTGGATGGCCATCTGTCAGGGGTGATTTGAATGCAATATTCCTGCTTCTTGGCAGGGGGTTGGACTGGATGGCCCATGAGGTCTCTTCCAACTCTTTGATCCTATGATTCTATGAAAGGCATCTTCATGCTAAGTACTAGTGTTCCGTTTTCTCGCAGTGTGAGAAGGCAATCCTTATATTGGGATCTAGAATCATAGAGCTGGAAGAGACTTCGCGGGCCATCCAGTCCAACCCCCTTTTGGCCTCTCTCTGGATAATGGAACAGTACCCAATTACCTAAGATTTACCTAAGTACCTAAAAGTTTCCCCAGATACAGCAGTACAGAGTTCCTGAGAAATTAAAAGATACATTGAAATAGGTTGAACACATTCCAGTACATTGAATGATACATTGAATTGCTTTGGAAATGGTATCATGAGGCAGTAATTCTTTATCCCATCAAGGGGACTGAGCTTCTTTACGGTATTGGCCGGTTGCCTCCTTGGCATAAGACTCTCAGAAATGACCCACATTTTGCCTGGTGCCCGGAAAGCGAGTCCAAGTTGAAAAAAGAAACAAAATTAAATATAAAGATTGAAGAGAAAACAGCATGGTGTGACTGACTGGACTTTTAGAAGTGTCTTAATTTGGAAAGAAAAGAAATACACTCCAACATCTGGAAGGTCATTGTTATCCACTCCTGCTTTAAGATGCCACAAGACAGTGTTATGAAATATCCTAGAAAGGAAATGGCTTAAATTACACAAGATGTTTGAAGCTTCAGCAACTCTCATTTTGTTCATGTTAACATAGAAAGATAGGGAATAATAAGTAATTATTGCTCCCTGATGGCAATAGCTATAACATAAGGCTGAGATTCATGTACCCAAACAACTAGTTAAGAACGGGGCTGAGACAAAAGGAAATGAGAGAAATCTACCCATAGGAAATTAGAGAAATCTACCCATCCTGATTTACCATGGGGAAAAGGTATTTCCACTGAAGCTTTCTCACAAATCCTTGTTTCCACAACAAGCCAAATTTTTCAAAATCCAATTATCAGAGGGACAGAAATTGATTTTTTTTGTGTGTCAGGAGCGACTTGAGAAACTGCAAGTCGCTTCTGGTGTGAGAGAATTGGCCATCTGCAAGGATGTTGCCCAGGGGACGCCCAGATGTTTCACCATCCTGTGGGAGGCTTCTCTCATGTCCTCGCATGAGAAGCTGGAGCTGACAGACAGGAGTTCACCCAGTTCCCTGGATTTGAACCGCTGACCTTTCAGTCAGCAGTCATGACGGCACAAAGGTTTAACCCATTGCACCACCAGGTGCTCCTAGAAAGTGAGGTGAAATCTTCTGAACAGAGGCACAGACAGTAAAAAAAAACTACAGAAGTGTTAAACCTATCAGTAATATATAATACTGATATTTTACTATGCTAATAATATAATATATTGTATGAAAATATATCTTGTAAGCCGCTCTGAGTCCCCTTCGGGGTGAGAAGGGCGGCATACAAATGCTACAAATAAAAAAATTAAATAAATAAATAAATTCTCTATGCTATCCAAAGCTAATATATATGGAAAAGAAAAACACAGGATCGTATATTTTGGCAAATGGTTGATTTGGCTGAAGCCCAAAGGACTGGATCGATGACAAATCAGATAGAATAATATAAATGTATGTATATGTATGTGTATAAGTATATATTATATATGTGTGCGCGTGCACCTGCCTATATGTATGTGTGTGTATGTGGCTGGGGTTACACCTAAAATGTATCTGTTCTGACTTAAGAGTCAAATTCAGCTTAGAAACATACCTACAGAAACTTTTTTGTAATTTGGGCACTGCCTGCACATTATTCCACTGCAGCTCTCACCAGTCCCTGGACAGAAAACCTGTGGTGAGGAAGGCTGGGAGTTGCAATCTATATGTTGAAGGCCATATGACTGTCACCCACACTTGCAGCTATAGAAGTTGTTTGATACTTGCCAGGTGTATCTGTCATTGACACCTCATGAGGAACCTCATATTTGACAAGAGCACTTCCCATCCTAGCTTGCCAAATTTCATGGCCACACAGCACCAGTGGCATTTGTGCAGTTGTTGTTTCAGAGTTGACAGTAATTGGAAGACTAATTCCGTCCCAGTTCTGAAATGCTTAAGCGGCTGAGAGGGGAAAGGAAGGGATCTGAGGCTGCTAGGAAGGGTGGGAGTTGAAGTCCAAAACACCTGGAGGGCCCAAGTTTGCCCATACCTGATTTACACTGTGGAATGAATGTAATCTGACTCCACTTTAACTTCCATGGCTCAATGCTATGGAATATTGAGAGCTGTATATTTTGGTGAGGTACTAGCAGTCTTTGGCTGAGCAGGCTGAACCACAAATCGCAGGAATCCGTGGCAGTTCAGGTGATGACAAGCTGCATGAATTCAGGTGCACCCGAGCATATCCTGACAGGGTTGTTGACTCCCTCACCTCCCCCCTCCACCGTTTCCCGCCTTTTCCCTTCCTTCTGGGCAGGCGTCGCGCGCAGGAGCCGTTAGGGGGCGGGGCTGGGGCCGGGGTGCAGCAGGTTGCGGCTGAGGCACAAACCGCCGGGGGCACGCGCCGCTTTTCAGGGACGGCGTTCCCTCGGGGAGAGGGGAGCTGGCACGCGCTGCACGCCCCATTCCCCCCTCCGCCCCGCCCGCCCGCTGGAAAACCGCGGGGCAGTTCTTTCCTTCCTGCTCGCGCGCGCTTCTCTTTGCGTTCCTTACACTTGCCAATTTTGTGTGTGCTTTGAGGAAAACATTTTACACAAACAGAAAAAACGCCTCAGCAAGTTGTCCAGGCGACTGAGGGGTAAAAGGAAAGGGCCTGAGGCTAGGTTGCTGTAGTTTTTCGGGCTGTATAGCGATATTCCAGAAGTATTCTCCCCTGACGTCTCACCTGCATCTATGGCAGGCATTCTCAGGTTGAGAGGTCTGTTGGAAACTAGGAAAATGGGATTTATATATCTTTGGAATATCCAGGGTGGGAGAAAGAACTCTTGACTGCTGGAGGTGCGTGTGAATGTTTCAATTGGCCACTTTGATCAGCATTGAATGGCCTAGGAGTTTCATGGGGTGGCTTCTTACTGCCTGGGGGCATCCTTTGTTGAGAGGTGATTAGCTGTCCCTGATTGTGAGGCTGTTAGGAATTGTGGGAGTTGAAGTACAAAACACCTGGAGGGAGGGCTGAAGTTTGCCCATGCTTGGTCCTCCTCGCCCAGACCATTACTGCTTGTGACATGGCAAGGTCTAGAACATACCACAGAAGATCTAGAACGTACTACAGAATGAAACTAACCAAAACTAACAAAATGAAGTTCAACAGGGACAAATGCAAGATACTCCACTTTGGCAGGAAAAACGAAATGCAAAGATACAGAATGGGGATGCCTGGCTTGTGAATAGTATGTGTGAAAAAGATCTTGGAGTCCTCGTGGACAACAAGTTAAACGTGAGCTAACAATGTAATGTAGCGGCAAAAAAAAGCCAATGGGATTTTGGCCTGCATTAATAGGAGCATAGTGTCTAGATGTAGGGAAGTAATGCTACCCCTCTATTCCGCTTTGGTTAGACCATACCTGGAATATTGTGTCCAATTCTGGGCACCACAATTCAAGAGAGATATTGACAAGCTGGAATGTCCAGAGGAGGGCAACTAAAATGATCAAGGGTCTGGAAAACAAGCCCTATGAGGAGCGGCTGAAGGAGCTGGGCATGTTTAGCCTGAAGAAGAGAAGGCTGAGAGGAGATATGACAGCCATGTATAAATATTTGAGAGGAAGCCACATACTGCAAGTTGCTTCTGATGTGAGAGAATTGGCTGTCTGCAAGTACGTTGCCCAGGGGACGCCCAGAAGTTTGATGTTTTACCATCCTTGTGGGAGGCTTCTCTCATGTTCTGGCATGGGGAGCTGGAGCTGACAGAGGGAGCTCAACCCGCTCTCCCCAGATTTGAACCGCTGACATATCGGTCACCAGTCCTGGCAACACAAGGGTTTAACCCAGTAGTTTTCAACCTTTCTTATGCCGCAACCCTTTAATACAGTTTCTCGTGTTGTGGTGACTTCGTAACTGTAATTTTGCTACTGTTATGAACTGTAATACCCGATACATCCAAATTTGAATATATGTTCCAGGAGGATTCTCTCCTGACAATTTGAATACTGGTGGGGTTGGGGGATATTGATTTTGTCATTTGGGATTTGTAGTTGCTGGGATATATAGTTCACTTACAAAGAGCATTCTGAACTCCACCAATGATGGAATTCAACCAAACTTGGCACACAGAATTTCCACAATCAACAGAAAAATACTGGTAGGGTTTGGTGGGCATTGACCTTGAGTTTTGGAGTTGTAGTTCACCTATATCCAGAGAGCACTATGGACTCAATGATGGATCTGGACCAAACTTAGCAATATTCAATATGCCCAAATGTGAACACTGGTGGAGTTTGGGGAAAATAGACCTTGACATTTGGGAGTTGTAGTTGCTGGGATTTATAGTTCCCCTACAATCAAAGAGCATTCTGAACCCCACCAACAATAGAATTGGGCCAAACTTCCCACACAGAACCCCCATGACCAACAGCAAATACTGTGTTTTCTGGTGGTCTTTGGCAACCCTACTGACACCCCCTCACGACCCCCTGGGGTCCCGACCCCAGGTTGAGAAACACTGGTTTGACCCACTGCGCCACCGGGGACTCCTAAGTATGTGTTGTGATTAATTAAATAATTAGTTACAAAAACTGCAATATTTGGAACTTAATTCCATTTTTTTCAACCTAAACTATCAGTTTAAACTAAATATCTTGCTCTATATTTACTGGATGGCAGCCTGGAACCATGGTGTGTACTTATTTATATTTTCTTGTCCTAGAATGTGATGGTATTATGAGCTTTTTAAGAACTCGACAGAACATTAAGAAAAGCCAAAACCAAAATATTACTATCTTTGTCACACAAAAATGCACAAATCGGAATTATATTAATTTCTTTATTAAGGCTAACTTATGTTTACTGTGCGTTTAAAGATTTACAACCAAAGGAACATTATTTACACGCAGCTGACATTCTAAGAGAATATAAACCAAACTTACCATGTGCCAAATAAAAAATACATGACACTTACCCTCCAGACACAATAAAACCACTACGTCCTCAGCCAATTATACATTTACATTCCCTTAAAGAATGAAAATTTGCATTGATAATACACTAACTATGATTACATCGAAACATCTAAAACCTGAGCCAAACCTAAGTATGCTTTTAATTTTAAAAAATCCATCTTAAAAATTAATAGCGATTGGTCAGTGGTCAACAGTGTGTGTACAAGAAAAGCTCCCAAACACCTGACTCTTGCTGCATTATTTCCAGAGTGCAGCATGACAAGCAATATTTCATTTCCATTCATCATTTTCTTGCTTATTTAACATACCTGATCATATATAATATGTTCAACCCATTTCTCTCTGTGAGGGGTGGCGGTGTTGTACTCTGATATGTAATTTACAGAGAAATGTATCCCATCTATACCTCCAGCCTATGTTGAGTAAAATAATTTATTCATATTATGCATCTTCAGGATAGAACGTGAGCTCTTTTCTTCACCCCCAATTTCATACAGCTATTAAAAGCTCTGGAGCATCTGGATTTTAGAGTAAAACATCTGAATTTGTGGCATGTTCTTCCTCATACCCATCACATTTTGAATAGTAACTGTAAATTGCTGCATCATATAGTTAGGCTTTTTTTAGGCTGCCTAGAAGATGTTATTGTTACATTTTTGTAACAAGATTTTTGGTAAACTTCCTGCCAGCTATATACTCCCATATCCATTTTCTGTAATTTCCACTGGTCATTCTCTAGTGATTCATGATTTGTATGTTCTCTGCTTCTGAAAAGCATCTTGAAGTGGTCCTCCACACTGTACCCATAAAACATTCAAGATATTTATTAGTAACCTCTATTTATTAGGATTGCATATGAGATGGGAGTTGCTTAAGGCATGGTGGTGAACAACTTACAATAGGCCAGCTAGGTTGAGTATAACTTGTACCTGTCGATTGTCTAACACCTAATGATCAGCCTTCCTTAGTGGACAAAGAATCTGAGGTCAGGCAACATTTGATAACCTTGAAGTGAACTACACTGAAGCAAAAATAACAGTCATTTTAAAAAGTAGTGTAAAAATTATTCAGTAAGATCAACAAAGGAAATTCATGGAACATTGTATACAACACTGTTTAGAATGTGCTCACATTTTCCAAGTTTTATTATGCCAAAAAAAAAAAATATGACCGTGAATTCTGTAGCTATTTTGCTTTCCAAACTTTCAGAGATAATTTAGTACGTTAATGTAAATAAAATGTGTTTCTTAACTGTCATTGTTGAGGCACAATAATTTTACCACTGACCTATGGCAATATAGGCTTTGTTTCAAGCAGCACAACCCTTTCTCTCTTAGCACATTGCAATAGGTTTGTCCAATGTGTGTTTATGCTTCAATTAGTGACACTCCGATTTAAGGTGAATGCCCAAATTGTCACTTACTGATAAAAAGCAGCAAATATATTAACAGATGCTTTGCTACTGATATAGTTCAGATTTCTTGTTGACATAAAACTGGAATCCACATTTTTCATCCCTTCATTAACAGAATACAAGTAGACATATTTTAAAGTAAGAAATGATCAAATGTACAACAAATTAAGAAAAGCCTCAAGTAATTGTTGTCACCTTGCAGCTTTCTTACAAATACCGAGAGAATGCAAGTCATCTCATGTGGAAAAGAAAACTCTTCTGAACATGTACAATGATGGATTCTGGCATCTCTCACAAGTAATCTTGCTTCAATACCCTGGAATGGACTGCTGCTTGGCGTGGCTTCTTTTCAGTCATTGATCAGAAGAGTTCTCATGCCCAACACAGGACTAATTTACCAGCTGTTAAGGAATCACTTGGTAGAGTTTTTGCCAATACCAAACATATCACGAATGTCACACAATGCTTGTTTGATGTTTTTCCCAAAGCGATGGGAGTTCTAAAGACGAACAGAAAGAGAGTTAGAAAATAGAGGTTGCTTACCTGTAACCGTATTTCTTCGAGTGTCCATCTGCGAAATTCACACCTATGGGTTTTCCTTTGCGCATGCGCAGAAATCCGGAACATTCTACAGTTTAATGAAATTAAAAATGATTATTTGTGAGGCTCCGCCCCTCTCCCCGCCCCCTCGGTATATATGCCGCCGCATGCGGCTGAGATGTAGTTCCCCAGCGCTAATCGCAGCTAGGTCTAGAGGCATGACAGAGGGGAGGAAGGGCGGGTTGTGTGAATTTCGCAGATGGACACTTGAAGAAATACGGTTACAGGTAAGCAACCTCTATTTATTCTTCGTGTCCTCTGCGAAATCCACACCTATGGGTGAATAGCAAGCTACTGACCTGGAGGCGGGTCATGCCACGCAGGAAAAAAGGACAGCTCTGCCAAATGCAGCGTCTTTCTTCGCCTGAATGTCCAACCTGTAGTGGGAGGCAAACGTGGATGGTGTAGACCACGTAGCTGCTCTGCAGATTTGATCCAGAGGGACTCCTCGAAGAAAGACTTGAGATGTGGACACCGAGCGAGTCGAGTGCGCCACGATGTGAGAAGGAGGTTCCTTCTTTGCCAATTGGTAGGCTAGCCGGATCGTTGAAACAATCCAGGAGGCCAGTGCCTGTGAGGATACAGGATGGCCCAACATGTCTTTTCTGTATTTCAAAAATAGTTTAGGAGACTTCCTATAGGAGGAGGTCCTATGCAGGTAAAAGGAAAGAGCCCTCTTAACATCGAGGGAGTGTAACGCTACCTCCAACGGGGAGGATGGGTTGGGGAAAAAGGCCGGCAGGATAATATCCTGTGACATATGAAAATAAGAAACAACTTTGGGTAAAAACGTGACGTCAGTCCGAAGGACTACCTTGTCCTCGTGGAACCTGATATAAGGAGGGTCGGAGCGGAGGGCCGTCAATTCACTCGACCGTCTGGCCGACGTGATGGCCACAAGGAATGCTGTCTTCCAAGACAAATGGGAAATGTCACTAGAGGCCATAGGTTCAAAGGGAGGTTTTGATAACTGGGATAACACTAGCTCTAGGCTCCATTGAGGGGAAGGGAGGGAAGTAGGAGGGTGGACATTTTTGTAGCCCTTGAGAAACAATTGAATCAGGTGGTCTTGAAAAAGGGACGGCAAGCCGGATTTTTTGCGATAGGAAGAGATTGCTGCTATGTAGCATTTGACTGAGGAAAGGGAGAAGTTTTTGTTGGAGAGGTGCACTAGGAAGTCTACTACCGCAGGAATTGGTGCTGATAAGGGAGTGAATCCCACTGCTTGTGTAAACTTCCCAAATGATGACCATTTATAATGATACGACTTCTTAGTGGTTGGTTTATGGGCGGCCAATAGTATTCGTGATACTTCCTCAGAGAGGTTCATTGTGGCCTGATCCTCCACGCCGTGAGGGAGAGGGAGTGGAGATCTGGATGGAGGACTAGTCCGTTCTCCACTGAGAAGGTCTGGGGTCGGGTCGAGGCGGAGGAATTCTTTGTTGGAGATCTGGAGCAGGGGAGCAAACCAGTGTTGGCGTGGCCACCAGGGGGTGACCAGGATGCAGTCTGTGTTGTCCTGAATTATTTTGGCTATGACGGGGGATAGGAGAGGAAGTGGTGGAAAGAGGTAGAGTAGGCCTGGGGACCACTGGAACAGGAAGGCGTCCCCGAGACAACCTGGGGATGCGTGAGGGCGGAGCCTTGCGCAGTAGAGAGGGCAATGAGTGTTCACGGGGGATGCGAACAGGTCTATCCTGGGGATGCCCCACTTGCGGGTGAGAGTCTTGAAGTGTGTGTGATGTAGTTGCCACTCGTGATTGTTTTTTGAGGATCTGCTTAGAGAGTCCGCTAGTGTGTTGTCCTGGCCTGGTAGGTGGATAGCAGTGAGAAGGACATTCCTCCGAATGCACCATTCCCAAATCCGTGTTGATATGGCTAATAGTGTCTGAGAGCGGGTTCCCCCTTGCTTGTTGATATAATATTTGACAGCGGTGTTGTCTGTTACAATTTGGACTTTGCGGTTCGAGATGATGCGGACAAAGGCTCTGAGGGCCTTTTCTACTGCCATCATCTCGAGTGTGTTGATGTGGAACTTGCGGTCCCGAGGGGACCAATGGCCGCTTACTTTGAACCCTTTGAGATGCGCTCCCCAACCCGAGTTGGAGGCGTCTGTCGTGAGGGACATGGATGGGTGAGGTTGGGTGAAAGGCATCCCTGATTGAACATTGCACTGCTTTGTCCACCATGAGAGGGAGTGGAGGACGGAGTGAGGTGGGTATAGGATGCGGGATTGAGGTTCCCGCAGGGGGTCGAATGATTTGATGAACCATCTTTGTAGTGGCCGCATTTTTAGGCGGGCAAATGGGGTTACACTTGTGGTAGACGACATGTGTCCAAGGATAGACTGGATAGCCCAGGCCGAAGTTCTGCGGGAGTGTTGGAGGCTTAGGATTGCTCGTCGAAGATTGATGAAGTGGTCGTCCGGGAGGAAGGCCTTCTGGAGAGAGGAGTCTATGACGGCTCCTATGAACTGGATTCGTTGAGTCGGAGTGAGATGGGATTTTTCTTGGTTTACTACCAGACCCAAGTCCTGTAAGAGAGACAAGGTGTAATGAATGTCGTTGTACAGTTGCGTTTTTGAAGGAGAACAAAATAACCAGTCATCCAGGTACTGAAAAACCACGATGTTTTGCTGGCGGAGGTGTGCCGCTATGACTGACATGCATTTTGTGAATACCCTGGGTGCGGTGGATAAACCAAACGGGAGAGAAGTGAACGAGAAGTGGTTGTTGTGCACTGCAAAGGTTAGGAATCTGCGATGAGATTCTCTAATTGAGATGTGGAAGTAGGTGTCCCGCAGGTCCACCGTCGCTAGCCACGCTCCCGGTGGAATGAAGGGTAGGATGTTAGGAAGTGTAACCATGCGGAACTTGCGTGGTGTGATGAAGGTGTTAAGCCTGCGAAGGTCCAGGATGGGGCGTAGCCCTCCATCTCTCTTGTCTACTAAGAAATATCGAGAAAAGAAGCAGGTGTTAGCATTGTGTGTGGGGTTAGAAGAAATGGTGCCCTTTTGAAGGAGAGAATGTATTTCTTCCCAGATCTCTTGGGAGGGTTGTGTGAGGAGAACCCTCCCAACGGGTGGATAGGTGTCAAATTCTATTGCATAACCCCTTTCAACTATGTCAAGGACCCAGGCATCTGTAGTGATAGATTGCCATGCCGGAAGAAAAGACTGTAGTCTGTTGAGGTATGTAAGTGATAATGTATGTGTGGAAGTGTGGTTGACAGTGGTTAGTGGTGTGCTAAAAACAACGTTTAGAGTTGTTGGAGGGCCTGGAGCCACGGTACTGACCTCTGAAGGGGAGTTGGGGACGTCTCGGGGTCGTAGACTGGGTGTAAGATCTTTGGCGTCCTCTGTAGAAGGAGGTATTATAAGGCCTGTTGTAGTAGTGAGGACGGTAGTAGTATGAGCCCCATCGTTGACGTTGATGAGAGTAAGGTTGTTGGTCATATTTGAAGACCGTCTGTTTCATTTTATGGGAATGTTCAAGTTGTGAATCAGTTTCAGGGTTGAACAGTCCTGCCTCGTCCATAGGAAGGTTTTCAATGAGAGTGCGTTGTGATTGAGAGAGGATAACAGCCCTCAGCCAGGCATGGCGGCGAAGGGCCACGGAGCCTGCAATGAGTTTGCCAGAAGCATCGGCTGTGTTTCTTGCAAGGTCCTTTTGCAATGATGACAGAAGGAGAGCCTCTTGCTTAAAGGCCAGAGCCAGTGGCTGGTCAGCTGGAGGCAGTAATTCTAAATAGGAAGATATTTTGTTCCATAGGAAGGTTTGGTATACACTCATGTAAACCCCATAATGAGCCATGCGTGCAAATAGGCATGCTGAGGAATAAAACTTTTTGGCCATAGAGTTAAGTTTCCTTCCCTCTTTGTCAGAGGGGGAAGTCTGGTTTGATTGGACAGGTTTTGGTTGAGCATCAGTTACTATAGAATTTGCTTTAGGCATTTTAGATAGCCACGAAGCTGAAGATAGATCAATACGGTATAAATTTTCTGCCCTCTTGGGGGTTGCCAGGATCATAGCCGGGGAAACACCAGTATTTTTTAAGATCTTTAGTAGAAAGGGCAAAGTGGGCAACACAGTGGAAGCAGGTTGTTGTTGTTCAGTAGAAGTAAAGCATGGATCTACCACAGTATCTGTGGGTTCAGGTGTAGAGAGATTCAGGGCTCTGGAGAGCCTTATGAACAAAGCAGAGAACTTTTTGAATTCTTCCAGATTTTTGGGGGAAGGGTCAGGGTCTGGAAGGGGTTCGTGTAT